TATTAAAGCAGCTTTCTAAAACACTTCCTACCATCCTTGGCCCCAGTGCTTTTAAAAGTTTAAAGGATAATATGTGGATGTTTACTCATTGTGTCAGATTCCCATAAAAGCAGCATTCATTTCCCTGGATCGATAGTGCACAAGTCGCTCGGTACTGCACATATGTTGACGCTGCCCTTTCATTATCGGTGTAACCTAAGAGTAGGGAAGATTAAATTCTTGTCACCAGATGTTAAATTGGCCATTACCCATCTAAGATAAATTGGTCCTTACATTTCCCATTAAAAATACCTGACAAGAGGGTGCACAATTTGACATGGGACTTAAGTTGTGTTGTATTGTGCGGATTAAATGAGATGAAGAAGAATAAAGATTAAAAAAAGATTTGTGGGTCGCACATTTAATTTTTTCTCAATTTCCCACTTTCTTTCATAGGTGGAAGACCAGCTAAATCCAACCGAGAGCTTGGTTTTCCATCTCCATGTCATATTTCATATTATGTGATCTCATTTCACTCAGCGATTGAGAGCCTGTCATTGTTGTGTCTCCACTCATGTGCGACACTTTCTCTCACCCCCCCTTCCTTGTGTTTTTTCTTTTTTCTCTTCTCTCAGTTCGGTCTCTGCATTTAGTCAGCCTGTCAGAGTGCTTCCCTGGAGAGTTTTGGACTGGAAGTTCGTCCCGGCAGTTCCTCTGCTGGTGGCCCCCGCTGGAGAAGCAAGGTCACAGTGGACCCAATTGTCGAAACATTCACAGAGTCTCCTCAGAATTCACATGCACACTTATTTACCAGTGTAAAGGCTAATTCATAGCCAAGAGGGCAATTTATTTGAATGTAACAACAGGTTTCGCATGGGGTTGCAGAAATATTGTCTGGAAGATGATAAAGCAGTTTTTAAACATATTGCTTCTTTTTTTTACAATTTTGTATATTTCATAAATTACCCTTTTTGGTTTGCAAACAATTATGAGATTAACTTTAATGTTGGCACCTACATTTCCAATTTCTAAACAATTAAATGTGAATTTACAATATGTCTTATCGGGCACATGGATGGCTTTGTGATTCTGGGCTGCTAGCTTGGAAATTATAAAATACAAATATTTATTGTAGTAATCAATTTCAAATTAAATGAAAAGATAGACTCGTACATTTTCCCTGTATGCAAAACGTTTTCCCCAGTGATACTTACTGCTCCAAAGAAAATACTAAATGGTTTAGCAGTGTCTCATTTTTGCACAACAAGGTTGACAGAGAGATTGTTTTCTCCTTTATAATGTTTTATTTTTCCCTCTGCTGCCTTCCTTATTTAGCCATGATTCCCTTACCCACTTTTATCTGGAGAAAATGCATTTTGTCAGTAAAAGTCAGTCACAGGTTGGCTAATATTTCTGACCCCAATGGGAACAAAGCTGACGAGATAAAGCCTAAAATAATTGTCTTTTTTTTTTAACCTAATCCTCCTTGTGATTGAACTGCTCTATGCCATAATGTCACCATTGTTTACTCAAAATCTAGTCAAAATTCACAAATAATCTTACAGAACCAAACACAAAAAAATATATATGTATATTTGGGGATATATTTTGTTATCTTTTATAACTTTGTTTCAAGGTTATGTTAGGGTTAAAAGACAGCAAACATTGCAGCTCAATTGCTAAATCCAATTGTGGCTATTGACTTTGCAATGACCAATTAATCAATTGCATGTGAACATTGGTGAAATTGTCAGTTTAGTGTCAAACCTCTGGAGACTGCCTAAAGAACAATTGAAACTGACTTTTACTTAGAAGTATAATTTGGTCTACCCTCGTTGGTAAACATTGGGTGACAAAATATTTAAAGCCATTTTCATTCAAATGAAAGTTAAATAGTAAATACTGTAGTTAAATATAGTAAATAGTTAAATAACATCTCTCTAAAACATGTTCAACCCAATCTGAAGAGTATAACATTTATTTGCATTTTTGGTAGCTAGGTGTTCCTAAAAAACTGAGACATACCAACAGCTTTGCTTGCCAATGAACTGCAATGGCATCATCACATCCTTACCAATGTATATGTTATCTTCCCTGCATTGCAATGCATTAAGGAGGGTTAAATGAGACACCTGATTTGAATGCCTGTGTCAGGCCTTAAAAACAATGCAAACAATTGGCTTTTAAAATGGACCCTTTAAATAGAACAATACTATCGTTTTGCTATTAAATAAGTTTATAAACTTTATATACAATTGTGGTTGGTTCCTTGAAAAAATGGAAGCTGTGAAAAGCAGCATGCTCAACTGTTTTTTTTTTTATTCGAATGTATAAATGTTTTCCAACACACTAGCAAAAAAACAAACAAATTGAAGACCATTTAACCGTTTAGTGACTCGTGGCAGTGGGCGGTGCTGCAGTCCTCCCGAGCATGCCGGATGATCTAATTACGCCCACCCCTCCGCCAATTAGAGAATTACATCACACCTTTAAATGGACTCGTCCTCTTAATCATTAATGGTACGGTGTCATTCGCTCTGACAGCGTCTTGCATCGAGGCAACTTGACACATGCTGCTCGGAGTTAATCCTAAATAAAGCGGGGGCCAAATACACTGCCGTTGACTTTTGGCGAAAAAAGTGAGAGCAAAATTAGGAATTAAAAAAATAGGGTCTCAGCGTGTGGAACTCAACTAAAGTGATACAGTGAGTTTCAGTAGGTCCAAGCTATGTGTGTGTGTGTGTGTGTTGGTGTGTGTGTGTGTGGTGTGTGTGTGTGTGTGTGTGTGTGTGTGTGTGTGTGTGTGTGTGTGTGTGTGTGTGTGTGTGTGTGTGTGTGTGTGTGTGTGTGTGTGTGTGTGTGTGTGTGTGTGTGTGTGTGTGTGTGTGTGTGTGTGTGTGTGTGTGTGTGTGTGTGTGTGTGTGTGTGTGTGTGTGGAAACGCCCATTGAGAACCTGATAGAAGATCTCATGGCCTATATTCAAGCGTCTTCTTCTGCATGTCAGAGGACGTGATCTCTGGTCCTTATGAGCAAACTAATAAGAGTGGCTAAAAGGGAAAACATAAAAAAAGAAGAATACAATTCTGCTATAGACTATTTAAATAATAATGTAATTCATGTTTGAGGTGTGCATTTAAATGTTGTCTTGGATTTTAATTGCCCCTTTTTCACTAGGCATTAGGTTTTTAAAGGTTTTAAATTCATTTTGATTATTTTGTACTTCCATATGTAATTGATGTCTTGTAAATCTCTGCAAAATGTTGATTCCTTGGAACAATTTAAAATCCTACATTTTGAAAAAAACGTTATCAAAACGAACCTTTTTCAACATTTTTATTTTTTGTATGGGTTATACTAAACGCAGATAGTTGGGAATATTTTTTTCAGTTTAGTATATTTCCTTTCCTTTTAATGTAATTTATTTTTTAATTTGGTCTATCTCGTTTTAGCCTTTAGGGAATGAGTTATATGCAGTATAAATGCTGGAAATTAGCTGTTTTGGAAACATGTGGAGCCACAAATGCTCTGATGGAGACAATGAATGGCCTGCATTCTTGTCTGTAAACGCCATTGTTATTTCTTCACTTATCTCTTTTATCTTAATCTGCTCGCATTGTTTACTTATCTTATTTGAAATTGCTCAATTACACATCTATTATCTGTCTTTTGTCATTCAAACTTCCGATTAAGACACAATCAGTGTAAAGAGAAACGGAAAAAAATAACTTCTTGTTTTGCAGCGTTTAAGAAATCAAAATACGATCGGCAATCATTTACAATCTCACTTAAAAATGACTGAGTCTAGTTTTGTTTAAATTCAGTAAATTCGGGAAATCAGTGAAGAAGAAGAATTAAAGTTGCTTCCAAAATAAAAAGTATTTTCTTGCCATGAAATAGGCCTACATGTTTTTCCTTTTCTGCCAAAACTGCATCGAAGACAAGTGAAATGATCACTATCTGATCAGATCGAACAAATGAATGAATGAATAACCTTTAATAGATTATCTCGCTCTCTTAAAACATAACATATCTGTCCATGTTCCGTGCGGATTTGTTTTGTTCTGCCCACTGTGTAGAGGAGGTCAGTTCATTTAGCCCGGGCTGTCATCCCGGCTGACCCGTGCGCAATAACGCAATTCACTGAAAGAAAATAAACTGAGGATGAGAAGTGACCCTTTACGAGCTGCTCTCTGCTCCCCTCACAAACGAGGGGCTTCGGGGAGTGTGTGTGTGTGTGTGTGTGTGTGTGTGTGTGTGTGTGTGTGTGTGTGTGTGTGTGTGTGTGTGTGTGTGTGTGTGTGTGTGTGTGTGTGTGTGTGTGTGTGTGTGTGTGTGTGTGTGTGTGTGTGTGTGTATATATGGAGGGGGTGTTTAGTTAGTTTGTTGTGGCTTCAGTCAGTAGCCTATAGGCTATCGCTTGCAGGTGATGCCAGGACTAGATAAGAGGTCGCCGATCCCTCCGCGCTGTCTAGACCAGCTTGTGACTCAACCAGAGCAACTGGACTGACACAATTTACAGCAGGTTTTTGCCCTCCAGATAGTAAATGACCACTGGCCGATTCCTGCTCCATAGCCGAAGGGGGAAACACCGCAGATGGAGGGGAGCGATAAGACAACAGAGCCTGCTGCAGGGTTTCAATTCAGGCAGGCCAAGTTGATTTACGTTTAACAAGACAAACAACATTCAGTGCAACTAAAATGAATATTTTGTTACTGTTTGAATGTATCCTCAAATCGCTTGTGACTAAGCATCGTATTTGCACGCATGACTCGCTGTCATGTGGAGAAACGATGTGTTGCCGCTTTGGATCTGGACAGTGAATTTGACTCTCGCCATAAGAGCACTGGAAAAAACAAGCTTACTTATGTTTCGATTCGTTTGTCGTCTTACTTTTGCAATGGAAAATTAAAACGTGCTGCATTTTCAAATAGATTTAATTATTGCGATAGTGGCTTGCGAATGCAAAAAGCGAAAGGAAGAAACTGCCTGTACAAAAATTGGTCATCAAGACACATTATGTAGTATTCAGCGTGTTTTTTATTATTATTTTGTATCAGTTAATAATCCCTTTACGAATCGCTCTCCTAACAATAAATAATATAACAATAATTTACTTTTTGTTCGAGTAGCTCAAACAACCTGGCCTTAAGATAAAGTATTTTACAACACGAATATTTTTGCAGATTATCATGCTCTGACCTTAAGACAAAGAGTCAACGGGACTCGACAACGCAATAAATGTATCAAACATTTCTCATATTGAAGAAACAAGACACAATATGATCACAATAAAATCGCAGAATGTCTATCTGACACGGAAATGTTTCCAATTAGTTTTTGAGGGAAGGTTTCTTGTAGTATATCCACTGGGAGGTCTTCTGTACATCTTTCTCCATTAAGTCATGCAACAATTGTTCTGCTTAGTTTTTGTCAATGAAAGCTCCCGAAAAAAAAACTCGGAATCAATCAGTGCTTTCTTGGTTCCATCTCCTCCATGTCAAGAAATAAAAAACACTCTCCTCTCTGTAGTTTGGGCGATATGATGAGCTGGTCACATGCAGGGACCGGGATCATGCTGTAATTGTCCTTGCAGGTCTGAGGGGCCCTGTTTCACGTCTCCACTGGGCTGGGTACCATACTGTTAGGGGTGTCCGGTAACTGAGAGGACAAAGAAGTCACGTCGCTGCCCGAGGAGTTTCCGATAGATCCCGATTCAGAGAATGACACCTGAACAGACAGGAACAAAGAGTCAGAATATGATAAATATGCAGGCTTTTATTTTGAAAACCTGGTTCTAAAACCATAGTTCTGCTGACATGAGGACACAATGCTGACATGGTCTGTGTGTGTGTGTGTGTGTGTGTGTGTGTGTGTGTGTGTGTGTGTGTGTGTGTGTGTGTGTGTGTGTGTGTGTGTGTGTGTGTGTGTGTGTGTGTGTGTGTGTGTGTGTGGTGTGTGTGTGTGTGTGTGTGTGTGTGTGCGTGTGTGTGCGTGTGTGTGAGATATGTTTTTATATGCAGCAACATTCTGTTTGTGTGGCTGAACTGTGGAAGCACACATCTGCATATGTGAATGGATAGATGAACACACCAGTTGTTGGAAGGCTGGTTGGTCCAGGTCGCTCTGCAGGGCGAACTCACTAAGGGCTTTCCATGGAGGCTGGTATGTCTGAACCTCCACTGGGTTTCCCTGCATGGAGCTCTCATGTCGGATAGGACTCCCAGCCACAAGAGGTGTCCCTGTTAGGCCCTGAAGATTCTGACAAAAGAATAAAACACAGGATAAGCATGTTGAGTCCTGCATCAATATCACTGTTGAAAGATCTGCACAAATGTGCAAATTACACTTTTTGTAAATAGAAAGTGGCATGTTCATATGCCATTTGCTTTTTCCCATGGTTTTCTTTTAGTTGGAGCAAAGATTAAACTATGGTGTCAGAGCATGTGTCCTGGACACAGACCAAGCCTGGCTGCAGAGGATGTTTTCATTTTTCAGGTCAAGCAACTGAAGCCAAAGCAGTTGATAAATTATTCAATAACCTAACGTTTGAATACAGGACAGCACTGGAGCTAACTGGAACCTGTTATACTGTGTCTTAGTTTAAGTAAATAATAAAAACTAAAGCTGGTTTAAAAGTAAAACTACAGGCTGGTGATTAACAGGGGTAAAAAAGAGGAATCTACATGCAAACAGTGATATTCACAAGCTAAACAGCCACTCATTTTTACAAATTAAAATATTTGAAAGCAATAAGGATATGATGTGTTCTGCAGCTGTTATCACTACACTCTTGCATTAATATGCCAGCCTCAATACAATACAATACAGCCTATACAACTGGGTGCATTGAAAATAAATCAAAATGTACCTTGGTCATGGTTTTAAAAGACAAACAAAACACTTGAACACAGGAATTAATAAATATTTGAAGTAATCAAGTGGCCTGACTTACGAAGAGGCTTATAGACTTATCGCTGTGATGCTGCGATTGCATCTGCTTCATCAGGATGGTCCTCTTCTTGTCTTTGCAGCGCTTGTTCTGGAACCAGACTCGGATCACCCTGGGGCTCAGGCTGGTCATCTCCGTCAGCTGCTCCTTCATCAGCGCGTCGGGCCTCGGGTTGGCGTTGTAGCAGGTCCGCAGGGTGTGGAGCTGCTTCTCGTTCAACACCGTCCGGATCCGCGTCGTCTTCTCCGACTGTTTGTGGACGTGGTTCCGATGCGGGGCCTGCCGCACCGAAACCGGGTCTGCTGGGGACAGAGGAGGGGGGAAACACCGTGAGAAACTGCGAAGGCGTCAACAATCCGTTCATATTTCGATACAGTTCAGCAGCCCATTATCTCAGTGTGCGACTTGTTTCCCTTTACATTGCTTGGATTGTTTTTGCAATAATAATGATCTGCCTCGATTTTAATTATGTTTTATATAAATGTCTGCAATTGGTTAACATCAAATGTTTATGTTTACAGGGGTCTTTGAAGACAAAAACAACACTTTCATTATTTGTGGGAAGTTTCTAGATGACAAACCAACTATTTAGATAGTGTGAGTTTCGATGGCCTACAATTATTATTAGGCCTACATGTTTTTTATGGGTGCATTTAGCATTATTGTGAATTTTTCTCATCTGAATTAGGTTAAAAGAACGAAGTTGAAATAGAAAATGATTCCGGTTTCCCCGCTGGAGGCCTGTGTGTGCGCTCTGAGCTGTATACAGTGTTTGAATTGATCGCTTTAAAGCAGGAAGTGAACATTATTCACGCATTTGTGAATGACACATTTGTTCTCTTTCTTTGCAGGTGCTCTCAAGATGACAATTCCTCAAACACACACATGGACACACACATGGACACACACACTTGACACACACACCCACGGTCGCGACGCAAATAGCAGATTATTCAGATAATAGCGACAGAGCAGGTTAACCCTAATGAGATCAATTATGAAATTAGCCTAAAGAAAGGTTGCAACACACACACACACACACACACACACACACACACACACACACACACACACACACGACAAAAAGTAATAATCCTTGAAAATATGATATTGATTTTCATGTAAATTTGCTAAACTCAAGCAATTACTTTTTTTTAAATAAACGTTTACTTTTTATTTGTAGATTTAGTTGTTGAGTATAGGCTATTAAAAGTGGTGTCTATAATTTCTTTAAACGGCCTTTTATTTTGGAATGTAGTGCCAATTTCATGTTTTGCTGCTGTTAGAAAAATATAATAATAATAATAATAATAATGATAATAATAGCAATACAAATAATAATACTCGTAATAATAATCCGACCTGCTAGGTGCGGTCTGTTGGAGTGGATGTGTCCGGGGCTGAGGGGGCTTCCAGCGGAGTTCCTCTCCAGCAGCAGGCTGTGGTCAGCCCGGCACAACAGCTCCTCTTCCCGCAGGGAGAACTCGTCTCCCGGCAGCAGCTGCCTGCTGCACACCGAGCAGCGAAAACATTCGATGTGGTAGACGTTATCCCTTGCTCTCATCACCAAGTCGCTGCTGCTGAATCCAAGGTTGCATTTTGCGCATTTTATTCCAAACAGCCTGGAGAATTGAGGGAAATTGTCAACATTTTTAAAATCAAGGTGGAAATGTAAAAGTGAGAAAAAAAACGAAGACAACTCAGAGTTGTAAATTATATCTTGTTGTCTAAGAATGCTTTTATACTCTTTTGTATTTTTATTTGAAAACATAATAATATAGTGTTGATGGAGTTTTGCTTCCTTTTTCGTGTAAATGTGTTGTTAAAAATGTCTTCTAATTTGTGTGCACTTAAATTTGTCTTAATTGTTCTTTCTTTTAATGTTTCGCTTCTTCCTAATAAATATTATTATTGAATGTAAAAACGTTTAACTGTAATCAAGATGTGATTCAACATAAATCAGAATAAACAGAGAATATTTCCAAACTCCTACCTTACATAATCTCTTTTGCAATAGGTTTTGCCGTCCCGGACGAAACAAGTGGAGGACTCGTCCAGGTACTGGCTGCACTCTGCGCACTTCAGGCAGGCTGCGTGCCACTCCATGTCGGGAGACACTCTCAGTATGTACTGGTCATGGATCTGACTTCCACATCCTACACACATCGCGATTCCTGGCTTCTCTGCAAAGAACCCACATCACTGTTATCACAGACTGAAAATGCAGCTCAATAAACATACAATAAAACTGAAGTATTTTAACAAAATGTAGTCCAGCCTGTATGACTCAGTTTTGCAGTGCATTTTGCAGACTGGACAAGTCTTAATGTTATGTAACAGAGGAAGACTTTTCGTCGCTGAATTGTTATTTCTAAAAAAACGCCTAAAAAATACACAGGAAAGAAAATGCTACACAATTGTCGATTCATTAAAAATAATAACTTGCTGCACATATGTCATTGAGCCCCAAAAGCTATCGCGACGAAAACAAAAACTGCCTCTTAAAACTCCAGCGAGCAGCTTACTTACTTTTGGAATGATCCCCCATATCATCCAAGAAAGAAGAGCTGAAAATAATATCCACCATACAGGACGGATAAAGGGGACTGTGGTAGATGCTGAAAGATGTGAGGAGATGACTGGCCCTCGGCTGCCTCCTTGATACCGTGTGTCTCTCCGGACTGGGAGGGTGCAGGGAGGGGGGTTGCAGGGTCCCACACGCTACTGCTCTGATGTCATGACGTCTTTACTGGGCTCTCCAATCGCCCCACTGCCTCCTTTTCTCCCAACATCTACACAAATATATTTTATGACATGATCTTCCATATGCAGATGGTCCTATTGTGTTTCTTCAAACGAAGAAATAACATTTGATTTAACTGCAAAACCATGAGTTTTCGATCAAATTATTCACATTAATTTCCCATCGATATTCAACGATATGTGGAAAAACTTATATTAAAAATATTTGCCACAAAACGACTCATACATTATTCAAAATATCCTACATTTTCTTGTTTATAGTATTAATCAAAACGTTATCATTTACAATACATATGTTATCAGGTTATCACAAGTTGGTTCTCCTGCACAGTTTCACATAGGTTTGAACGCTAAATCTGTTTAAATAAAGTTTAATTGGGATTTTAGGTGTTTTCATAATCTTCATCAAACATCCAAATACATTTTGTTTCCAGGTCATGATGAAAAAAATCTTCCGACAACAATAGTTGCATTGTTGATCTTTGACAAAAATAAATAAAAATTAGGCCAGATTATGGCCTTGATATTTTTGAATTAAAAAAAGTAAGACAAACCATACATAGGCTACTTGTAGTCATTTGTTTTCATGGGCATAACGTCAGCGGTAACTGAGGACTGTCGACAAGGCTCATCTACTCGAGAACATTGCCATCTATTGGAGGAAAAGGAGAACTACAGTAAAGGGGGGGGCGGGTGCTGGGTGAGCAAACAGTATACTGGATTTTAGTTTCATTCAGTCTGTAATCTATCTGTCTATAAATATTTTCTTGAAAATTAAATATCTAAACTAACATTCCTTAGTCTGTATACAGTTTCTCGATGGAAGTGGAAACAACATTTCTTTTTAATTTTCAAATAATGTATAAGCAATTAAGGCTATGAGAAGCAATTACGGCTTCATACATTTACTTTTTTTTGTAAACTAAAATAACACTCGTGTAGTATTTCCCTTGACAGGTTCGATCTGTTTAAAGGAACAAATAACGCAGACAGTTGCACAATGCCACTGTTTGCCGTGTCTTTGTTCAAACACCTCCTTCCTCCCGAGTCCTTTCCTCCTTAATCCAGAGAACAGTTAATAAAACCAAACAAATACAGCCTTTCCTCCTCCTGTCTGATGCCCGGTCGTGGGGATATTTATGATGGATGGTTTTAGGCTATAGCTCAACGTATAATACCCACATCTTAGACCTGCTCCATGTGTCATCCTATTGGCTATTGCAAGCAGTTGCACCTGACGGAGGACACAGTGCAGGACTCAGAGGAAGCGAACAGTGTTTATATCAATAATCCTTGGTGCATAAACATCAAAGTAGATGGCATGATTTCGCATTTTGTATGTAAAAGAGCCCTGTTATCTGCCCATCAATGGTTTTGTTGCTGCTGCATTCCTCCTGAAGCAAATTCAAAAGGTACATGAATGCACAAAAGTTCTTCTTCTGTGTTGTCGCGTGTTTCTTGTATTGCACATTGAACTGCAACCCTGTGTAGAATGACAATAAATGATCCTTCAATTGTTGTGTAGCCTACATTACTGTCAGAAAAAGGAAATGGCAAATTACATGATGATAATAAAAACAAATCATGAAAAGCAATTTTCTATGATAAATGTGTCAAGATTATATATTTGTCATACAATGTTTGTCAGGGTATAATGCTTTATACCCTGACAAACATTGCAGTTCTTTTGTTGGTTGGCATCTCAAAAAATGGACAGAATTGTTAATCTTCTCCCTTGTAGTGTTTTGTAGTATTGGAAACAAATCGCTCTCGTTGCCAACAATCAGGGAAACTTTAAAAACTATACCGCTCTTTAGTTGTGACTTTTATTTTGAAAGGCACAAACGACATGCTCCCCCTGCTTAAACAGTGACTTGATTGGTTCAAGACTGCTCCTAACTAACTTTAGTTTGCTCACGACTGAGACGACCCTTCAATCATGTTGGCTATACTTTATTATCCGTGATAGAAGAGGAGTTTGGGAACATTTGGTGAGTAGTTGATCCTTGTAATTGATTGCCAGTAGAGTGGGTACTTTGCTGCAAGAAAAACGTGATGTAATCTCCAAGCGTGGCTTTGTTATTGTAGGGTCAAAAGATGGTCAAATCAGGAAATATCGGGGTTTTATCCCTCAACGCTTTATTACAGGGGAGTTTAGACGCAAACTAGTTGATGTGTTTAATTATAAATGTACCTTTTCAACTTACTGACAACAGATTTCAGGTTATTATACTATTATAATCAATGAGGACATCACTGCAGCTCTCATCAGTCAAGCACTGGTGTTAAGAATACATATTAAATACAGTATGTCCTAACATATTTATTTGTGTTATGGACTGTCACATGGCCATCATGGAGTAACAGTCTCACATATTTTGAGACCCTGTTGCCTGGCTTCAGTAGGCTGTCTTCATGTTATTTTACATATGTTGCCACACAGGGTCATTATGAGAAGTATTTCTGCACAATAGCATTCCTGTCATAAGATATGCTGATGAAAATGCTTCTGGCTTTTGACATAGATGGGTTTACTGATACTTGATTGTTTATTAAACCATTTTAAATTGCAATTAAAGAAGCATGCCCAATTACCTACAATGGCTGTCATGCCAAAAATACACAAGCAATAAAAGTTAACATCACAGTATTACAATGTTAGATATTATCATTGTTGCTCAATGTTATGTTTAATTCTTCTAAATGTCTAAAACGTGTTCCTCCTGACAGGGAACAACAACAGACTGCCCCATTCTACACTGAATGTCACTACTGCTGTCGGCTAGGTCGAGAATCATTTCTGAAGGTAGGTAGGCCTGCAGTGTTTGTGAAGGACCAAATCTAACAGCAGGAATACAATGATACAAATATACCTGCAGCTCTCGGCCCAAACTGGTCAATGCTTTTCAAGGGCACTGGTGATCTACAGAGACGTGCTAACTGTGCATCTGCTATCTCCTGTCTGTCCTGTACCTTTTTCCTAAAGACAATACAAAATAGCTTACAGGGGTGAAACCCGCCGCTGCTCCGTCTGTAAAGCCGGTGTGTCCTTGGGCAAGACACTTCACCTGAACTTGCTCCTGTGGGTATTGTCCACAGTATCTGACCATTGCATGTATGATATATGTGTAATGTGTGTATATGTAAAGCGCTTTGAGTCATTGAAAAAGCGCTATAATAAATGTAAGGAATTATTATTATTATTATTATTACAGAGACATGTTTGACTTTGGAGACCATTCAGGAGTGCAAGAACCGAAGGAGAGACATGATAAGACCACAAGATCCGTAAACTGCCATCTCAAAAATATGGGACATAAACATCTGTTTGTTTGGTCTTGTTTTTAGTATTATACATATGAAATCAAATGTAAACCGTTCAAAACATTGTTTGCTATGAAGTTATAAAGTATACTTCATAAGTCTACACATATAAAGTTGGGGAAGTTGTTATGGCTACAGAAATGAATCTGTTTAAGATCTGATTTAGTACATCCAGACTCACTCTCAGTAGAATGATTCTCTATTATTCATGAATTGAAGTGTTTGGGCATGCATACTAAAATAATCAAATATGATATTATGCTTATTATATTTTGCAACTGGAAACATGTCTCAATGTTGTAATGCATCTAAAAGTAGTTTTTGTTTTTAATGAGTGACTTCATCCTGTATTCTGATTGTTCAATAGAACTGTCAGCTCGTACATCTAATGGCATTTCAATTGAATTAGGATGCATTCAATTCAATTGTATGTATTATAATACAGCTTATATTGATCTTTATTTCTAGGCTTCATTTTATTTAAAAATAATGTGCAGTGTATGGTTAATTCAATGTGACATCCTCACTTGTATCACTCACTTAAGATGTCCTTCAGGTATGGTGTTTCTCAGACAAAGAATAGTATCATATTCAAGCCACTATGTTTTATTATTGGAAAAAGGGTGGTTTGAATATAAAATATGTTTGTTGCAGATAGTTGTAAAAACCAGGCTGAGTATATTCTTATGCCTTTACATAACCTTTTCACCCTTCCCTCAGAGAGCTCATTATAACCATTACTTTACCTTTTATAGTCTCTGCCACTAAACATCTGAGAGAGCTTTGATCCATCGGCTTAAAACATTTTGTGGTTCCCTTTTATTTACACAATCTCCTCCCCTGAGTGTCTGTTAAGCTGGATGTGGCTACTATTTCAGAGAACACTGAGGTCAAATCCCAAGACACCTCTATCAGGACCCTGCTTGTAAGCCTCGTGTTGTGATAGACGCAGTAAGTGGCGTAAACAATGAAAATGAAAAGAGGACTAGGAAAAAGTCAAAACAACCGATACCTCTTGAATACCATCCAACTATTTGCTCAAGGTTCTTTGTAACAAACTCTACGTCTTTGCTTCTTTTCCCTCAAGGATAAGTTGAAAACCAATATTATTATAACTCATAATGATATATCGCACACAGAGCCTGATTAATTCTGTAGACGCATGCATTACGTGCGGTGCAGTTAATCATTCAAACCTTTTGGCAAAGTTTTGATCGTGATGCTGTGACTTATTTATGCCTGCTGTATTGTATATGGCATTACCCACAGTGCATTGCAGAAGAATAACATATTGAATGTAGTCAAAAATTATTATGGGCACTAATTGTTTTGCTAATGCTGCAGGTCACGGGTTAACTTCCCGAGTGTTTCATGTATGTATGTATAGTGACAGGAAATGTCACATGCAGTGTGATTGTTTGTGACCTGTTAATGACTGCCTGATCAAGCTCTCCTAGCTGTCACTCCAGTATAAAAGCCTCCCTGAAGAATCTCTAATCACAATTTGATGGGGTCCATTAACCTCATGAAATATATATGTGTGACTGAAATCATCCACTTAAACTTTGGCAAGAGCAAAATGTTCTTGTTTGGAATTCAGGGGGCTCTCCTGGGCTGCATTACTGAACTTTTCACAGTGACTCGTTGTCTCTTGAATGTTTTAGGGTTCGATGGCATTTTGCCTTTATTGTCAGATCCATGAGTAATTTATTACGCCAATTCCTGCAAACTCCCCGGGCTGGATCCAGTTGAAGTTGTGCCAACTTGTTTAAATATGTTGGAGCGTCTTTACATTTTCAAGGAAAAAAGGATGAAATGCTGCTGCCGAATGGGGGGGCTTTATTAGTTTTAGTTTTGTTTTATAAATATTAGTAAATGGAAAATTGCTATGTGACTTTTAAAAAAAACCAAGAAAGTCAGATCACCACATAAACGACCACATTAGATAAATGATGGACTTTTTTTATTTAAATAACCCAATCGTTAAATACATATTCTTATATTGACAATCATTGTCAAGATGTAATATCAGATATCAGAAGACAGTAGTGTATATTTTGATCTCCACTAAGAAGGATATGTTTTTGGTTTGATTAGTTTGTCCGTCTGTGTGTCGGCAGGAAAATGCAAATGAATGTTGGTCCGGATTTCATGCTACTGTTTGATAGAACATGGAAGAAAACATTACATTTTGGAGCGGATTCACAAATGATTTATGACTTTCATTAACATAGCTAGGAGATAGGACATATAGGGCCATACTGTAGATGGGCCTTGGCGGAGGTCTGAGCTCTCGGAGTGCCCTTGTAGTTTATTTATTTATCTACAGTTTCCCCAGGTCTTCTGTGGGGCTTCTCCGTGGCTCTAAACCAGGAGTGACACATCTGAGCTCATCAGAAATAATGTTGTGTTTAGACTTTCAGTTCCATCTTATACATTTGAAGGCTTTCGTTTCCTAATTTTGATAAAAAAATAAAAGCAGTTTTGGAGATATAATGGCTTTCATCGTTCTTGAACCAAATACTTATTTTTAGATGTTATCGTGTCATCTTGTGTGTTCGGTTCACAACCTCATTTGTTCATTAACCGGCCGGTCGTGGCTGATCTCTGTTAAAAAAACACACTATTTGTACCTGACAGCAAAAGGCCATGCAGCATGTAATGTGTCTCAGTGGGAATAAAACCTCCAGCCTGGGCTTTACTGACCTTCTGTCTTTGTGTTTATTCAGGACAAGGCCTGCAGCGTGGTGACAACTGTAAGCTGCTGTAAGAGCTGGAGGATCAAATGAAGACTGCAGGTATTTTCTTTTTCTTGTCTGCTTAGTCCAATTCTTTTTACATGTCATGTGTGTATCATGATGTGTGGGTTTTTAAATCAAGAATGTTTGGGCTTTTTTCTGAACATGTATATAAATGTATTGTGGACCCTTTTGGTTTTAGATTAAATTCAAAGATAGATATTTTATGTTTATGAATAAAATAAAGCTGAATACTGTTGATTGTCAGAAAAAGTATGCCGTAACATTGATTGATCACAATTAAATAAAACAGACAAATCTATGAATATAGGAACTAATATTCTCAAAAAATGACTAAATGTTTAGTAACATTTCAAGATACTTAGAATTGTCATGATTAGTCACACTTTGGTAAATATTCAATTTTCTTTAAATAAATAAGAAGATAACAATAATACTCAAAAAGCTCAAATGTAATTTGACAGGTATATATTTGAAAGAATGTCCTTTTTTGACTCAGCACCATTTGATCCTCGAAACCTCTTGAAAGGCTGGTTTAAAGCTCTGAATGATTTACCAGAACCAATAGAGAGTTAGCTGTCAGTGCTTTGAAGCCAGTCTTATGTCCAGCGTCAGCCAAAACTGAAATTAATACAAGCACTCAGTAGGTTATAAGATATTAAAAATGTGTAAACTGATATCTCCTCAAAACATTTTGTAATAACCTTAAAGACAAAAAGGTCAAGTATTCCTTTCAATACATAATGGCAGTATATGTCACAATAAATGTTTTTTATTTATCCCAGCAGTGATGGTATGTGTGCAGTTATTTTTTTTCTCACATAGTCCTCAAAAATGCCTCAGCGAGTAAAAAAACAAATCACATCCTCATGCGAGCGAGGGCGTTCTGAGAGGGGAACCATGTTGCAGATTTATAATTCATAAGTTAATGCAGTATTCACATGATAATTAGTATTAATTTTTGATTGGTGCCCCAGGGCAGCCCTGCTTTGTTAGGCTGAAGAATCTGTGCCATTATTACCTTATCAGTGTAACTGTCAGCCGCCTGTTTTATTTTACAAATGCAAATCTTGTATTTTATTATCAGCTGCTCTCATCAGCCGCTCGGCCTCGTTGCTTATCAGCAGCTCCGTGTCACTTAAATGAGGAAAGAAGTATCTCTGTTTGGACCAGTCACAACAACTCCATCAGTGTGACGCCTCTGAAACTGTTGGCCTGTACATTAATGTGTCCATTGAAACAAAGAGAGAACAAATCAAACTTCAAGACTATACTTTGAAATGTATCAATTCATATTTATTAGAAATGTAATCATAGTTCATTAAATATTGAGCTTTGATTCTTTCGAATTTAACAGAATTGTCTGAAGCTAACATTTTTGTGTATTCCAGTCAGTGAACAAAATAACGTGAACACCTGATGCAATACATGTTATTGTTGCAGGCTATCTTGTGTTATACATACACCATCATTTTGACATTTTAACATATGTGTGCACAAAAAACTCTTAATCTCTTTTCAATGGCAATACATTTAAAACTTTAATCTTGTGTTTTTTAATACAGATTAGTCGACTCACTCATATATTTTCTGCAACTATTTTGATGATTCATTTATTTACTAAATAATATATAACGTTTTGGACTGCTATTTGTAGAAAAACATCTATTTAAATTAGATATTTTGGCTTGAAATATAGGTGGCCATTTTTCCCTATTTTCTGACCTTTTGTAGACCAAACAATGAATTGATTAATTGGGAAATCTACAGCAGATTAATGGATGTGTGAGTACTCGTTAGTTGGAGCTTAATTGAACACAATGCACAGGCTGCATTTTTGGATAAAACAGTCGGCCTTGCTTCTTGTGCCAGGTGCTCCATAATGTTGTGTTTACTGACCAGCTGATTATCCCAGTTGTGTGCACAATCTGCCTGTTTTGTAAAGCACTCATGTTCTCACACCTGAGGGAAGCTTTTCTGTGTGAAGCAAGAGGTTTCAGCATCACTTTGGGGTATTTTATTAACAGGACAGCAGGTGCTGCGCTCCCTGACCCGCTCCCTTTACCAGCTGTGTGTGTGAGCATGTGGAGACCAAATGGCAGACAGCCACAGCTCAGGGAAAACTGACCGAGCTTGGCAAATCCACCGGTGGCTCTGGAAACCCCGAAGCTGCTGCCTCAGTCGGCTACTTTCCAGAGAAAACTTTGGAAAGCTGTTTGTCTTCAGCTGGAAGGCAAAGGGGGGTGCATTTTTTCTCTCTCTGAAGTAAAGAGAAAAAAAGCCCCTCTAGATTGACAGCGCCTTTCATACTGTATTATCCGGCCTGGCTTTTAACTCCAGGAGAACTGTGTTCACAAATTGATGCTCTGCTCCTCTGGGGCTGTAGCTGAAACATTAAATTGTACTGAAATATTCATATGTGAGTGCATTTAGCTGAGAGCAATTGATGTGCGACTCCCCAGAGGCCACATGGAAATGTTGCAGGGCCCCAGCTTGAGCGGGCAGAAACCCTGAGCTCTGGACGGGACAGTGATTGTGATTTAGCCCAGGCTCCCGAGTTAGACTAAGTTTAAAGGCTCCTCCATTCAGGACGGCTGATGTCAGTGTCTGCCCAGGTGGCCGCAGACACAGCAAAGTGTGTGGTGCCGCAAACGTACAGGCAGGCTATGACAGATTTTAAAGGTTCATAATGCACTTTTCATGTGTTTCTCATGTCCTTGGTGTGAAAAGAGACTCGAAAAGTAAAAATACAATAAAACAAAAAGTACAAAAAAAGAGCAGTTTCTCTATTCAGTTCACTTCTCCCTACTGTGTCAATATTTAAGTTGTCAAACTGCAACTTATTTAGTGAAACATTGCAGGTTTTTGATGCTAGTTAATACATTTTTAAATGGATACATTCTTCACTCAAATATTTTTTTATTTAAATTACTACATTAAAATGTTAAAGCATCAAGTTGTGCTATTTAATAAATTATTTGTAATTAACATTGTGGGGGAAACTTGTGAAGCAATTAGAAACAGGACTCAGAGAGGCACGAGGAGAGCTGGAGCTTTGATGGCAAACACTGACGGTTTATTTGGAGTTACGGTTGGAGAATTGACAAGACAAGGTGGTGTGTCACGAGTTGACACAGCGGTTGCCAAACCAATTCTGAAGAACTCTTTCTGTAGCTCGAGGTTTTAACTAGTTCGGAGTGTAATAATCAACATTCTTCATCAGTGAGACCTAAGCAATAAGGACCCTGAATCTAACTAGAGCTCTCGTCCATAGGAAAGAATGTGTGCCAGGGAACCTTCGTCCCTGAACAGTAAACTACCTCATGGCGGCTTGTGCTCCGTCATAGACTGGCAACAACAATGCGCCCAAGCTGCCGCTCCTTAAGAGAGACAGCAACAATACCCAAGGCCGTAGAACTATGCCATGGGAAAGGAGACAGTGAGAGGAGAAAATGATGAACTTTGTCGAAGGTTGAATACCTAAGCAGATGATTCCCTAACAAACATCATTACATGTATTTTTATCATAATGCAGGAGACAGTAATTGGAGTTGGTATATATCATATTTGAGGTCAGATCACATTAAACTGACAGTAAAATGTGTCTTCAATTCTACAAACACTGTATTTTATTTGTTCTTAGGTTAATATTCATGCAGTGGATTCCACTATGAATATAGCATAAGCTTTTCACAAGACTCAACCAACATTCTTATTTCATTCAGAAAGCTTATGTTTTAAAGGAAAAACAAACTATGTCAGTCTGAGTTTGAGATGAACCGTAATTATTGGTAGATGTTTAAATTATTGATTGACTGCACTTACATCTCCCGGACTAATCAGGATTTTCTTGCGTTTGTTGCAGAAGCAAGACATTGAATATGAACATGTATGCAGCGTCAATTAGCTTTAGAGAAATGTAGAATCTGTGGCAGCCATTTCCCCGATGAGTTAAGCTTTTTACTCAAAAATGTTTGCTAATTTACGCTTCATGGAGCTGGTCATGCATAACATACATACACGTTGGATTGCTGAATTAATTTTGATGTTCTGTATATTATTGTATTCGGTTGTTTGGAGCACAGAGGGATGTAGCGTCCCATTTCCCAGAAGACTTTCTCAATTGTGTCCTCATGTTTATCACATGACCAACTTAGCGTACTATATTCCTCTGATTGCTGTGCAGGAGCAACAAGAGAAATCATCAAGGTTATTTTGCTTAGAAAAAAACTTAGAAAAAGAAACTTAACATGATGCAAATCAAACTCTATTTAAGTTTCTAGCTTTATTTCTTTCTGTGCATTTGTCTTCTGTTCATCAGCAAATTAGAAATCTGATTTACATTTACTAAAAACTGATTTAATAATTCATTAGTATCTCAAGAGAACTGAAGTGATTGAGCTTGGTCACTCAGTGGGTGTTGTTTCCACTTCCAGTTTGACCCACTTTATCCGAGGTAGCGTAACACAACTACGAGGGTTGGGTACCGAAAGGAAACATTTTTATGCAAAAGAAATCTGCTGTAGCCATGACAACAGTCTCCTGAGTAGATTTCTTCTACCAAGCGAACCTCTGGATCCTGTGCACTTAAGAAATATGTTTCTAAAAGAGAACCTAAGAAGCTTTTTAAAGAACGATGTATAATTTATTTGTATTTTTCTCCTGCTTCAGAGCCTCTGGAAAGAGTGTCCTGTGTGAGGCGTGTTCTGAATCTGTCAGACCGCAGTGGTAATGCAGTCAAACTCCCCACATCTGTTTGTTCTCAATGAGAATGAACTCTTTAAACATATACCCTGCTGCTCTGTGCCATAAGACGGCGGTTCAAATCTCTTCCATTCACTTAAATACAAATCACATTCTTAAACAGAACCACTAAGCAAGGTCTAATAGGTAGATGCCTCTCACACAGGCATTGAAAACATTTCATGTTGTATGTTAATTTGATATCTCATCGTTATTATAGTTTACATCCTACATAGTAAAACTATTCTGGGCTGTACTGTTCAATTTCTTCGCAATCCTTTTGTCACACAATTGTGGCCATTAACAAAAACACAGATGCACACATCTTCCAAGTAACTGACTATGTAAATGATGTTGAATCGTATTAAGGACTTGTGTTGGACAACATTAATATACCATCAGCAATATGGCATCAATGAATATGAGTCATTAACTCACCTTTTGGCTCTGATTTGGTCGCTACAAACTCCTCAATGCGAATAGTCTATGACAGTCAGTTAGTGCTTTTGGAGGTACTTTGAAAATCAATACGTATATGTGCAGCGAAAACAAATAAAAATGAATCTTATTAAACACATTTCCAAATTTGCCAAATGGATCAACGTTTTTCTTTTCCATGTCCTGTATGTTTTGCAAACTCACTTTGTTTTTTCGAAACTATAATTCACTGTAGGGATTGTGGACATGTGGTCTACTGGAAACAACTTTATGAATAATTAATTGGGGGGGAAAGCAATATTAGGTAGATTTTCACTAAACTTTGAAAAGCTGCTCTTTTGGAGGTTTTAAAGGGTCTAAAAACTAATACACTTATCCACTGCACACCGTTCACCACCATAGTCATGCATCCCACTCTCCACTTAGTGTAACTTAGCATAGCTCATGCATTTAAGACACCATTAGAAATAATGCAGAAATGTAGCACTTGATTTTTTAAAGATTTCTGAGTGTTTACTTTCCAATATGTGTATGGTTTGAATACACTTGTACACAGATTATATAATAATACAAATCCAGCCTATTTAATTGGTAATAGCATTTAAAATGTATGTTTGGTGTCTTTTTGATCTGTGCAGCCCTAACAGAAATAATATGACCCACCAAAGTAAAGTGTCCTTTGTGGGAACTAATTGTCTAAACATTTGAATTCATGTCTTGTTTGCTCTCAAATTTGTGAATTAAAACATCATTCAGACAAAAGGTTTCAAATGTTTAAAGGTTAACTCAGTGAGGTCCTATTCCTCTTTATCGTAAGGAAGGAAGGAGGTCATTATCTTATCCAAAGAGTCGGTAAATAAATCAACAATGATCATGTAATGTTAATGCAGTTAAAGTGACTTCCTCTGTGCCATTATTAAAACATTTAAATTATTAAGAGTCTAATGGTCACTGTTAATTCACTTAGCTTCCTGTGAGTGTGACAAGGACTGTACCTCTCGATTCGTTGGAGACGTCCCAAAAGCAATTTACTTCTAAGCACGTCTCCTAACGGTCTGCTCAGTGTCCCTGCCTGTCAAAGTTGAACACTTGACTCAGTCTGAACTGGAATGATACGTATTGACAAATTGGGTTCATATGAATGATTTAGCCACACCTTTCATTTGGCCTTTAGTAGTAGAGGAAGGGCTTTCAGGCATCACCTTTTGTTTATTATCCATTTTAAGTGTACACATAATTGAGCTTCCTAGCTGGGCAGTGTTTCTCAGTGTGGAGCTGGAAGTTGAACCGTAAAAACCTTCTATTACAAGGCTGGTTAATCTAGAAGTGTTAGAGGAACAGCACCTTGTGACATTAATACCAAGGCCGCGGTAACAGATAGAGGCTGAGCTGAGCTTTGGCACCCATATTCAACCGGATTCCTTTGTGTGTGTCGAGAGCCAAGCATATCATTATTTATTTACTTGTTCCATGGCATGCGATAGGCATTGTTGGTTTTGTAAACAAGATTGATGTGGTGGGTGTAGGTATAGTGAGAAGGGTGCATATCAACTTACATGCTTAAAAAAAACAACCTACAACACAGTTGGCGTCTGAATACAATAAAAACACTTTTCTTTGATTAGGAAATTTGATTTTAGGGATCAGGTGGTTTTTACCATGTGTTACATCATCACGTTGCTTTTGATTGGTTGTTATTTCCTTATTCCTCTACATTTGTTCTGTTAATTACAGTATTTTCATTCAGTGGAACATTACTATTATTATATTATATTTCCAGGCAGAGATTATTTAAACTTTAAACAAGTTATCATTAGTTTAAATATCACCATTTGTTTTATTAGTGACAAATAGAGCTTCCAAATAGCAAGGCTCTTTTACATGTAATTATTCTGTTGCATTAAAAACCCTGCTTAATTGTTTAGATGTAATACATAGGGTTTTTATTCTTTAATCTCTTATTCAACATTTTGTAATGAGGCTAATGTTTGCATCAATTGACCTTGTTTTTTACGATAGTACTGAGAAAATGGACCCATGCCGTTGCCCTCAAAAGCTATTTATGTCGTGGCCTTCTAATACTGGGGCATCGCTCCTGGTTAATGTGAATTATTGTGTCACTGATCCATATTCATATCAAGTTAAAAACTGACTCTTGTATTCCAAAATAACATAAGTTCGCCTGGCTGTCATTTAGAGAAATATTCACACATTGCCTGCTGAAGTTTAACTGTAAATGATACGGCATGCAGCCTCTTCACACAAAAAGCTATTGACTGCTGTCCTTCAGCATTTACTTGTTACAGGGTGAACTATGATGGGCATGGGCTAATGTCACTTAAGCATCATAAGATCAGTCGTTGTTCTGTGTGTTAATTATTATTTTCTCACATGTCAAAGCCTGTATGCTGCTTCCTTTCAACATGTAACACATATTGTATAAACCTCGAAATTTCACATCTTTAAAGAAGTTTCCAAACGAATCACCCTACAAAATATAATATACCTGCTACCCTCCTTAGACAATAAAATAATAGGAACTGAAATGCCAGAATATAGGACATGGGCAGATTGCACAGAGTTATTTAGGCTAACTACTTTTAAAAGATGCAATGTGATGTATTGTTTCCGGTCACAGGTCCATAGAATACAGATGAAGTCTTACCATAAGAGTCGTTTTAATTCAGAGTCGAGGCTTCAAATCAGTTACTCAGCAGGAGGACTCTTGGTCCCGCATGTACTGTGTTAATTGCGGATTAAATTAGGCGGCTACAAACAATCCACACACCCAGATCTGAAAATGAATACTTAGTTATCATAATTGAAAAACACTTTTGATAATAGCTTAATTGTTGCAGTAATAGTTATTAACAATTAAAACATTCTCTAGATACTTGTAAACATTTGACAAGCAACAAAATGGTACAGCAGTTTATCTTCTGAATTAATGATATTATGGGGGTAATTAGAGGGGGCTGATACTTCTCACGACACACTTACAATGACTTGACCAATTAGCAGTTGACGGATCTTCCAATGTTAATAACCTTAAATAATTCAGACTTTTCTAAATCAAATGCACGGGACATGATGCTAATGAAATACTGTTGTACAGTGCAGTGTGTAACAAGGAGCCTGTGAATAGAAAGAAATTGGATTAGAGCCAACTGTGGTTTTATCGTGTTTGATACAGCTTTAAATGTATGATGTATTAAAGTCAGTAAACATAAAGAAGTTAGGGAAATACTAACTTTTATTTTTGCTATTTTCATTCAAATGACAGCACCTGCATTTGGCAATAACTTCCTCCATATCAAGTTTACAAAAGTGTCTGTAAACATTAAAGTGCAAAGAATTTGCTTGCCATTAAGGGCACATATCTTTTAAAGGTTCATGCTACAAGCACTCCAATCTAGTTTCATGTGAAGAGTCCACTCACTTACCTTTTCATTTCATCCACACAAATGTACCCTACTCATGTTTTTTTTTCAAAAAATGCTATTCAATAAATTGGGATCATGGTCCATGGTTTCAAATCAAACAAATAAGTGACAAAAAGGCAAAGTTAAGCCAGTCGTATGTACCCTGTGGCTGTTTAAACAAGAAACAGCATTACTGATGTTTAAAGTTGTTCATACCAATTGAAAGTAAAAAAACAAAATTGAAATTCCAAGAACAGAGAACAGTGTCTTGGTTTGCAACACGGTTCAGAGATAACGCTTTTGTTCAGTATAGGCTGGAATGGCCCCTTGCTGGTTTTAATACATGTAAAGTTCAGTGCATTTAGGACCTTTTCAGAGTGAGAATTCCTGATGAAGAATGTGTCCAAGAACACATTCGGCTCCCCTTACTAGGATGTTTCAGTCTTTGTTGTGCTTTATCAGGGAATTTCTTGTATCAAAAATCCATCAAAGAGGAGCAGGGGAGGTTGGACCGTATGGCAAAGGGCCTAAGAGTTCTTATTGTCATTTCTACTATTGACTTCTGAACACGTCACGTTAAGGAGCATCAGTGTTAGCCTGAAGCTAAGGCTTAAGCTTGCTCTGGATTGGCTAAGATTGGATTTACAACCTCTCACGAGATTTGACCTGTGACAAGAGCTGAGAAATGTGCCGAACATGGTGGCAGCAAAATAAAAGACTTGTTTCTGTGTAGCTTATGTATCAGGCATGCCCTCCAGAGGCGTGTCAGCGGGCCCCAGGAGCCGGTACTTCTCCTCCAGGGACGGCTCCGTGCCGCTGCCCTGCAGGTGGATCAGCGGCTTGGTCTGCAGCAGCACGCAGCCCCCCCCCCGGCCCCGCCTCTCCTCCTGGTTCCTGCGGTTGAAGATGTTTATTCTGTTGTCCAGCTCAGGACTCGCCTTTTCTGAGCCAGTAGGGCTGGGAAGCTTTAGGTTAACAGGGTCCACTACCAGGCCCTTTTGAGCAAGGCAGGAGTCCTCAGAGAGGGAGGAGAGCAGCTCCTGCACTACCATGCTGGGGTCCCTGCAGGGGTCCTTGCCTGAGCAGGGAGGGGGGGGGCAGCGATGGGTGCTGTAGCTCAGACTGAGCTCCTGAGCTGGGCTGCAGTCTGTCATCGAGGACCCCGGGATGTAGCTGCTCAGGCTGTGGGGGCGGGCCGTCAGGCTGCCGCTGGACCGTGATAGGCTGGTTGAGGCATCACTCACAGCGCTGCCCACCAGCTCCATGGCAAGCATCTGGTTTGACTGGATGGGATTTGGATTGGTGGGGAGGTGGACGTCAATGGCTGCCATGGTGATGACCCGGGCTCCGAGGCCAGAAGCTCCAGCATCTTGAAAAACATTGTGTACATTTAGAGAAAGCAGGACAACTAACGTTAAACAAATTATCCTTTTACTTTAGTCTAAAGAAGTGCATAACATACTCTAAAAAAAAAACTCTAAAACATGTAAATAATTATGCTGCTGTCTCTGTTAACGTCTCAGATATTTTCTATCCTCATATTGGCTAAATGCGAATGTATGTTAATTTGTATTGTTAAATAACATTATACAAAATGCATCATACGTAAAGAATAACATTTTTTCTGATAATGTACATTTTGAGTTATAACATTGAAATTTCAGCCACATCTATGACTAGACATATGAACCATGAAGTATTGTCCGTTGACCTATTGCTTTGTTTCACTATAACCAATCAATAAGACTTTGTATTCACTGCTTTACTCACATGGGGTGGCATGAGTTCACTGTCACTTACCACTGCTAGCTTCACTGTAGTATTGGCTGATGTAGTTGTTCATATCATCACGCACAACTGGATCTGACATATAAAAACACATTTAGGTGACTTTTTTATTATTCTGTCATTTAGATATTTTCTGAAACTGATGTCTGTAGACAGCATGATTATTATTCTGTATCATCTTTTAAAGTTTGCATCTGCAATCGGGAACTATTAACTCCTTGGAAAATCTGCCAGTCGAGGACTATACGGTGAATTATTGTGTAACTGACTCACACTGCCAATGTTTTTTTATTTAACCAGGCAAGTCATTAAGAACAAAATCTTATTTACAGTGGCCTTCTGGCAAAATACTCCATGTGGCAGAGACTGTAATTGGATTACATACCTTTTTGTATGTCGGTCAATTTCACTGTTAACCACCTAAACTAGTGCAAATGGAAAATATCTCTTGTGTTTACAACATAATATTGACAGAGATGACTTCTGCCCCAGGCAGCAGGTACTTTATTGTCAAGTGGCCAGGATCACGCACTGCTACGCTGTGCATTAGCTGCACCCTGGTGCACCAGAAATAAACTGGGACAGGGTGGGGTTGGTTTCAGAGATGAGAGGAACGGGGGAAAAGAGGGAGAGTGGGAGCTCTTTGTTCAGGCCCAGATCCCTCCAGTCTAGCTGGCCTCTGTGTGCGTGGTGAATGGCTGTGATCTGCTATGCTCCTCTGTTCGCTTGATTAGTCTTGAGCTCACTGTCCGCTGGCTGAGTGCGAACCCAGAGTACCCTGAGTGCTAGCCCCCGTCCCCTGGGACATGCTGCAGACTCTGATGGGTAATTTCATTTATTTTTCTGTCTAAAATATTAATCCCTGAGCCACCCCTCGAGAGGAAGCATTGCACTCACTAAAACAAGACTGAGACAATCGCTCCACAATTAATAACACATGAGTCTTGAGAAAAAAGAATGGGCTGTCCAGCATGCATAAAAGGCTCTGCCCGTGTTTCTGTGACAGTCAAGTTAGCAGGCTGTCTTCTGTGGAAAAAGAGAGGTGACATGCTGAGGTCCTTTCAGTTCAAAACTAAACTATAATTGTGATGGCTGAGTATCAGTCTATAGGTAAGAGAGTCAGATGAGCAACAGCTGCTGCTAATGTTAGGATAAACTAAGCAACCAGTATCTATTAAATATTATTTTGAGTGTGTGGTTTAATAACATAATAGTTTCACAGTTTGGGAGGTTTATATCATATATGCCATTTAGCTATGTTAGCAGTATGGCTTATGGCAATGTCTGTCTGTCTTCTGTACAGACATTCATGATCCCCATGGAGCCTGCAGACTTAACATCCCATTAACTTTCCTTTCCTTTTTGTGGTTTTGGCACAAATGTATACTATTGGAACTATTGGATTCTATGCTGTAAAATGTAGTAAAGGCTTTCATGTCCCTTTTGGAATTAATTCTCACAACTTTAGTGACCCCCTGACTTCTAGTTCATCGTGTTTTTTGACTTTTTGAATGTATTTAATGGCATTCCCATGCTTCAGCTCTACTTTGTGTTTGGTGCACATTTCCAAATGTCGGAATGCCAACATGCTAAATCAAGATGATCTTAACTGTATTTATGTCTTTATTCGATAGAGTCAGAGCATGCAAATAACCATCAATTTAAAAAACGCAAGATGTATTGAAAATATGTTAGCTAAAATGTTCATTTACATCTGTCGTCCCGAGGCAGGAAACATTTCAAGTGATGAACATATTAAGCACTATAACTGCTTAAAGTCAACATGTTACCACTGTCCTTGTAAGTACGATACCATTTATCTCAAAGCACTGCTATCGGAAAGTCTCAGAGCCAATAGCTTGCCTACAACCCTCTCAGAATCTGAGCGAGAACTCCACCAGCTTATTGATCAATGTTGATTTGTCCCTTTGTTCTCAAAGTCTACACGGTTTGGCACTTTAGGTGACATACACATTCATCTCCTGATATATCATCCTTGTGAAGCCCACTGCCTTGATAACAGCTCTTGATAGTTTGATAGCGACATGCAGGTGAGTGTGAGAGAAGCCCATTGAGACTGTGCCAAATTGAGGAAAACCAATAAACGTGGTTTGATTTGAGCTGACCCGACTTGACTTGAGCCCTGTGGCCTAAGTGCTCCTCCCAGTGACCATGTTTCTGTAAAAAGCCCCACTTGTTTCTGAGAGCCAGATTTCCCACTATGCCCTTGGGGTAATATTGTGACCGCTGCGGAGCCTCATGGTGCCCTATTGTGATTTGCAGGTGAAGGGGAACAGATGTTGACAGGAGCCAACTCTCCCCGAACAAGACTCAATGCACAGAGCACTCTGTACCTGAAATAGCCCAAGTGGTCTGGGCCGGCTGGCCTCGCCAAGCCTGCCCAGAGAGATAGTTGGGGCATGACAGAAGCCCATGCAAGCTGACGCAGTGTCACAGAACATGCTTGTTTTCTGCAGGATTCCCCAGATCCTAAAAGCTTTTTTGCCCTCATATTGATCCCGGAGCGCCTGCGGTCAGATGGGTGTTGTGTGCGAGTGCAGAGGGGCTAAGAGCTTGGCCTCGAAGATGCTCCAGGGCTACTGCTCCAGATTAACCGTACACTGCTCTGGCATCCAGTTCACCTGATGTTACACTGTTAGAGACTTTTTGTTCCACATTATTATGTACATACGTTATGCTGCACCTCTCTCCTGGTTTGTCATGCTGCTTCCTCAAGCAAACACACTGCACCTGGCATAGCGTGTATTCAAATTAGCTAGATGTTTAACGCCACAGGTTTATGGCTTAGATTAATTCATTTTCAGTGTTAGAAAAAGCGTTTTCAACCGTAACCTACTTCATAACCTCTCTGCAGGACATGTTTAAGACAACATTTGTTTCAGAAGGGAAGGTAAATTGTTTTTTAAATGCTTTGTTTCTGACATTTGTTGCAGATCAACCTTGGATGCTTTATTTTACTAAATCTAATCACTCTTTTAATATCTTGCAAACCTGTCCATAACAACTCTGCGTTAACTCTACCTGCTGTGGGATGTGGCTCCCTGGGGTTTCTCTGGCCGCCCTCATCGTCAAACTCCCCAGGAGGCAGGCCTTCCACCACCTGAAAACTCCTGCCCTGTTTGCCCCACACATGGTGGATCTGCATGGCTGCTTCACGTTCTGCTGCCAGGTCCACGTCCTGCTGGGCCAGATGGGCCCTCAGCTGCCGGATCTCAAACTGGAGATGGTCAGTGAAACAAGCAGGAGAATCAGCAGATTAGGCGAGGGTGAAAGTGAAGGGATGGATTTAAAAAACGGATGAGTGACGAAGATAGAGATGGAAAAAAGGACGAGGAAGGCAAGAGGAAAGGCCAAAGATATACAGGATCCGGTCAAACGTGATAACTTCATCTATTTTCTCTAGAGAAAATGTACAGTATGATTTAAACATTTTGATAATTAACATTATGTGCAGTTTCATACTGAGGGCCTTTGACGCCATCAAAGATCATACATTAAATGCTTTGACAAACAAAGATTGTCTATGCTTATATTTATATGGTTGATTATTTGTGATTTATTTTTTAAGTGCATTATCTAATAATGTATTGAACCTTTTTGGAATGGTGAATACACACAATGAATTACAAATAATTAATTACACTTGCTCAGGGTTTGTATTACTTTATTCCAAATGAAAAATGTATTCTTAAATCACCCTATGTTTTGACAAAGGTCATATTTGAACATATGGCAGGAATTATCACCCAAAGTGTGCATTTAAATAGAAACTGAAAAACTATTGCCCACATTTCTAATGAACAACTTGACAACGTTCTGATCATTTCCTTTCTTATACTAAATCATTTTCCTATAATTATTCATGGCTGGTCGTCTCAGAATCTGAACTTGGAAGCTCATTTGAAGGTTAAGTCTTTATCAATATTTATTATAGTCTGCATTTTGCCTTATGGGATCTTCACCCTGTGTGCGCTCAGGAATCATAAAATACGTGGAGAGACTGAACCTCTTTGTAAGGTATTGCTGCCCTCTTCTGGTGGAACATTAGCTGACCGTTACAAATGGGCTTATGTGGTCTAAGTCAGACCCTTATGGTTATATAGTTTGACTATAAAATGATCATAAAGCAGTCTGTGAGAAACCTCAACATTTGAATTGTAATGTTTTACTACTGGCATACAATATAAACTTAAAGTAATTATGTGTGTCTACTTTCATACAAGTGAGTCTGAGTTTGTATTCTGTCTTTTGAGTATTCATTTCAGTCCTTGGGTTAAAATGTGGCTTTAAAAGATTCTACCATCATGCAGAACTGAGACAAAACTGTGGTCAGATTCCAATAGTGTGTACATTAAAAAGTGTGAAATAGCTGCAGCATGATCCACTCCCCCCTCCAACCATATGCAACTTACTTTATGACCCATATTTCTGAAAACAATTGCTGACTACACACATTATGTCTCCGTCCTCATGCAGAACCGCTTCAAGGTTGTTGGTAAGCGAGTGTGACGTGCACCAGGACCCATATACTGTGTTGAGTGGATGCGATAAATTGTGTGTTTTTCCTGTTTTCTTACAAGAGTATGTTGTGTAGGTGTATGGGGGATGCAGTGTTCAGGTTAAATGAGTGATTTGTTGGTACTCACAGCCTGTTCCTGGCAGATCTGAGTGAGACGCTCCAGCTGCTCCTCCCTCACAGCCTTCGTCTTCTCACACTGCTGGATCTCACACTCCATCTCCACTTTGACTTGAAGAACATAAGCTGACAGAAAAAGGGCAACATAGTTTTAAAACATACACAATAAAACATTTTAGATAATGGAACTACATATTTAAATGGTCTGAAAGGTATTGACTGGAGGCATCAAGACAGCTGGTAAACTACATTGAGCGCATCAAGGTCAAAGGTCAGTGTTGGTGGAACATTCGTCCTTCACTCCATATATGTCTGTCATCACATATGCAAAGCTCATTAATTACTGGTTACCAGTAACCCTATACCTGTACTGAATGAATTTTGCAAGGTGCTGCAAATGTTCCACATGGATCTTGTTTCATGCCGACTTGAGGGTGTCACAAAGTTTTCGTACATTTTGATCTCAGATTAGATATATTGCAAAAAGCCCAAGATCCCCGACAACTTCGTCTGATCACAGTCATCACGTGTTCTTTACGCAACTGTGTGCTGGTCTGGGAAAATGGCTCATATCGGGATTCTGCTGTGCCTGTTAATGGTTTTGGACTATGAAGAGAAGATCTCTAGTCATTCTGAGAAGTCTACTGGATTCAGGTCTGTTCTGCCACCCGCAGTGGGCATCATACTTGCCAACCTTGAGGCCTCAGAAATCGGGAGCATTTCAAAACGACCGTGGAGGGGGGGGGGGGGGGGGGGGGGGGGGGGGGGTGCTAGTGGATCATCGCCGGAGCTGTATTAGCATTAACATGCTTATTGTAGTGGTAAGTGCACTGGTAAGTGCACTGGTAAGTGCACTGCCTTGCGGCCTGTAGCACCATCCTTGATGGAGCATATGTGTGGGCTGGACCTGTATTATAGAGGGTCGTGTTGTCGATTCTTGTTCAGTTTTCTGTGACTATCTGCCTCACCCTCTCAGACTTTGAGTTGCGCGCGCTGCTAAAGAGACGCGCTACCATGGAAACCAAACAATGGTGTAGCTGTATTAAAGTCAGAGTGGAAGCAGTCCTGAGTGGAAGCAGTCCTGAGTAAATCTGATTTTGTCAGAAATTGGGAGAAATATGACCCCGGGAGGAAACCGGGAGAGGGCAATGAAATCGGGAGTCTCCCGCGAAAATCGGGAGGGTTGGCAAGTATGGTGGGCATCCCCTGCAAAGGTTCGGATGTGTTGCGCAAACAATTACCGGTTGCCTTGTCACAGACAATCTGCTCGACAAAATATGTTTGTCTTTTTTGTTTTCCTGCGATGATGGTTCTTCAGGACTGCTTCTTAAGCTCAAATCACACTCTCGCAGACTTTTCCGGTGTTTCTAAAGTAGATGACAATGTATGTGTGTCGTTTAAGAGGAAAATATGCCTGTTTTTTGTTGTTGTTATTACTGTCAGGAAATGTACAACCTAACCCTGGTCCGCCCAGTAGTAGTAGTCAGATCGCTACTCCTGCTGATTTTAAAGCTAGGTCTGGGTTGGGTTTCATCCAATTGAATGTGCGCAGTCTGTTAGGTAAACTATATTTTGTCCGCATCTGGGCGAGCTCGACTGACGCTGACGTCATTGTTTTATCAGAAACATGGCTAAATAAATCTATTTTGGCCTCTGACATTGCCTTAAATGGTTATAATTTGTATCGTTCCGACCGGCCTAATAAAGGTGGTGGCGTTGCCATTTATGTTAAGAATAAGTTCAGTGTAACCACATTAATTTCCAAATCTATCAGTAAGCAATTCGAATTTTTAGCCTTAAATATAGAAGTGGCAAAGGGTCAACAGGTCATGGTGGTGGGCTGTTACAGACCCCCCTCAGATGGCAAGGACTCCTTGTCTTCGCTAGCAAATCTTTTATCGCAGCTAGACTACAAGGAAATAGTGCTACTTGGAGATTTTAACTGGGACTGGTTAACTGCAGTGTCAGAGGATTTTAAAAACCTTTGTATCTCTTTGAATGTTACTCAGATTGTTGACAGTCCTACTCGCCCTAACATTAAGTCCCCTAATAAATCCTCCCTAATTGATCTCATTCTAATGCTCCCTATAAATACTTATCCGTGGGAGTATTTGCGAATGATCTGAGTGATCACTGTGTTGTAGCCACAATTAAGGACACTAAGGTTCAAAAGGTTAAACCTCGTATTATTATTAAGAGAGACATAAAACATTTTGTGGAGCAGGGTTTTGTACATGATCTGTTTGGGTTTGATTGGGGAAAAATCGATCTATGTGCTGATGTAGAAACTGCATGGTCTTATTTTTATCTTGGTTTTATGGAGATCATTGATAGACATGCACCCCTGCGTAAATTTAGAGTGAAGGGACGAGACAATCCTTGGTTTTCTGCTGAACTGTCTAGTCTCCTTCATGAGAGAAACAAGGCCTGGGCAAAGGCTAGGCAATCAGGCTCAGAGGTAGAATGGCTGCGTTTTAGGCAGCTAAGAAATAGCTTCACTTCTAATGTCAAAAGTGCAAAGTCGAAGTACTATTTGTCAGTTACCACAGAAAACCTATAATCCTAGGAAATTTTGGAAAGCCATAAAATCGATATCCACCGGTGAGATCCGTAATGAGCTACCTCTGTGCCTTACCACAGCATCTGGCACTATATCGGACAGGGCCACTATGCTAAATTGCTTTAATGAGCATTTTGTGTCCTGCGGTTCTATGTTTGATTCTGTTTCTAACTCTGCTTCTGTGAACACCCCAATCCATGACTCTGAACAATGTGGTCTGGAAAACCCTTTCAGTTTTACTCCTTTTACTGTCAATGTTGTTCATGAAGCCTTATCTAAGCTAGATCCTAAGAAACCGGCTGGCCCGGACAACGTAGAACCTTTCATTTTAAAGATAGCTGCAGATGTTATTGCTCTTCCTCTCACTACTCTTTTCAACCTCTCCCTCAGCACAAATGCAATTCCAAAAGTATGGAAGTCAGCTTATGTCTTGCCTTTGCTAAAAGGAGGGGAGGCAACTATTTTAAATAACTATAGGCCAATCTCTAAATTGTCAGTTCTGGCGAAGGTGCTCGAACGCCTAGTGAGTGAACAGGTAAAGGAGTTTTTATGTAAAAATGATATCCTGTCTAAACATCAGTCAGGCTTCAGAAAGCAACACAGCACCATCACTGCGACAATGAAAGTGGTGAATGACATTACGAGTATCTTAGACAATAAGCAGAGTTGTGCAGCTCTATTTATTGACCTTTCCAAAGCGTTTCATACCGTTGATCATCACATTTTGAAGCAGAGGCTACTCAGTATTGGCATATCCAGCCATGCAGTGGGTTGGTTTGTGAACTACCTCTCTGAAAGGTCCCAATGTGTTCATTTTGATGGGCTGTCTTCTGAGTGGTTAAACATTGCTAATGGTGTTCCTCAAGGTTCTGTTTTAGGTCCACTTTTATTCTCCATATATATCAACAGTTTAGGTGAAAATGTGGATGAAGCTACTTTACATTTTTATGCTGATGACACCGTGATGTATTGTGCAGGTCCCTCCATTAAGGAGGCTGGTGTTAAATTACAGGCTGTTTTTAACATTATTCAGACTCAGCTTGCTGAACTTAAGCTTATTTTAAATGTTGATAAAACCAAGGTAATGCTATTTTCAAAAGCTAAAAAGACACCAGAGCCTGTTTTGGATAGTGTTACTATGCAAGGACAAGTACTTGAAGTGGTTACCAGTTATAAATACCTAGGTATCTGGCTTGATGATTGTCTTACTTTTAAACTTCATGTCAATAACCTGCTTAAAAAGCTGAGGGTTAGGCTAGGTTTCTTTTTCAGAAACAAGTCCTGTTTCTCGCTTGAGGCCAGGAAAAGGCTAGTCACTGTGACCTTTTTACCTGTGCTGGACTATGGTGATTTGTTGTATATGAATGCACCTGCCTATTGCCTGAACAAGTTAGATGCCGCCTATCACAGCGCACTGAGATTTGTCAACAAATTGTAAAGCACTTACTCATCACTGTACCCTGTATGCCAAGGCAGGTTTGCCATCACTTACTGTAAAGAGTGCTCAGTCATTGGTACACGTTATTTATAAAGCTTTGTTGGGTAAACTCCCGTATTATATCTGCTCTCTGATAACACAGAGAGTTGCAAGCAGCTATTGTCTGAGATCGCATGATGTAGTATTGTTAGATGTGCCAAGAGCAAGGACTGTCTTAGGTAAGACAGCTTTTATGTGCGCAGCTCCACTTGCTTGGAACAATCTTCAGCAAGAATTTAAACTGAGCAATCTCATTCCTCTGCATGTTTTTAAAGCTAGGCTAAATGAAATGCTCGTTGATACTATGGGCACTTGTAAATGTCTATAACTATGTAAATGTATCCTGTAAATATAATGAATGATGTCCTTTATTGTTTTATGTTTCATGTGGAACCTATATGTTGCAGGTCTCCCTTGAAAAAGAGATCTATGATCTCAATGGGACCAATCTCGTTAAATAAAGGTTTGAAATGAAAGGAAATGAACTCAGTGTCAACATGACAATACCAGACAAGCAGATTAATCCATGCACAGTGATACTGGTATCTCACTTGACAAATGTAACAACATGTAGATAAACTAAAGTCATTTATTTGTGTTTTGATGAAATGTTTTTGGGAAAAAAACGTTAGACTCAACTTATAGTTTATTTTGGAGGAGCGATACCTTGTAATACTATCTTCTTGAAACAGTCCACGAAGACATGTATGTGACAAACTATCAAATCCAGTAAAAAGGAGTTTGACAAAAAAAAAGCAGTACAATCAACAAACACAACAAGCCTGGGCATGAGGACTTTGACCTACTTTGTGTACCAATATGGACATATTTCTATTTGTATATTCTTGGTGTAACTTCTTCCTAACAGTGTTGCACTGAAGTGTTACCAGCACACTTTGGCCATCCTTGAATCACTTTTTCTTCTTTCCCTTAAACTCTCTCATAGATTTAAAGCTGTGTGGGGCTTTTTCATATGAATAGAATTCATAGAATGTTGGCTGCATTTGAGCCTTTGCCCAGCAGATTCCCATAATGCAGATTACATTACATGTCATTTTGTTAGACGCTTTTATCCAAAGTGATTTACATACATTGAGTGCTGTGGACAATCCCCACAGGAGCAATTTGGGGTGAAGTGTCTTGCCCAGGGACACAACAACATGCTGACTGCAGTGGGACTCGAACTCGCTACCCCCTGATTCGAAGTCCAGCACACTATTCACTGAGCCACAGCCTCCCATTCACTGAGCCACAGCCTCAGATTAACTGGCGTCTGGGTGACTTCCTGCGCTGGCAGGAAGTCACCAGTAGGTGAGCTTGACGCATCTATCCTGCTTTCTTCAGGTTTTCCCCTGAATTCTTACTCTCATTATTTTTAAGTTTATTTTTTTTCTGGAGCTTCTTCCACAAACATATTTTACACCATACTCTGAGCTGATGCTCCGTCGCCATGGTTCCTCTAATAGTGTAATTATTCCTACTGCCAGAGGGGGGAGACAAAAGCAACAAACTCCAGCTTTAATCTCTCCTATCTCCTATCATCCTATCATCTCTCGCCAATCTTTTTCCACACAAAACTGCAACTGATTGGTTATTTATTTATGTGTTCATTCATTTCATTTATCTATCATGTTAATTAAACAATTCCTTGTAGTACAGGAAGAAGAATCTGCAGCCGTGCTTGAAGTGATGCATCAAATCAAGTCTTTATTAATTAAAGCAACTCCGCCTGTTAAAATATTGACTGCACACTTTTAAATGACACACTTTCTGGAGCAGGATGGGAAGGTGTACCTAAAAAAAGGACAGTGCGAGTAAATTTAGATACCTGTTGTCATCACAGGTGGCAGACAGTCGGTACCTCACACCTATCCATCATCACATTTGTAAGCCAGCCACATGGTATCACACATGGTTACATGGTGTATCATGACATTTCGCAAGTGGCAACACAAAGAGGTGAACAATAATCAGTAAATACACTTGCATTTCAAGATCTCTTTCTTGTGAATGTGGTTCTGAACTTTAACGAGATGCAATTGCCGGTTGTGTTAAAGGTGCGGAATGAAACAGCCATTCTGCTACTGGGGGGGGGGGGGGGGGGGGGGGGGGGGGGGCATCACCACATGCTCGCGTACCTATTTATAGTCAGGTTGGCACACACACATTGCAAAAAGTGGGGCCATCAGATGGGGTTAGTGCAGTAAGAATTCAAATTCAACCTTCCTAAATTTTCCCACACCACTCTGCTCCTCCGCTCCCTTCACTGGCTTCCGGTAACTGCTAGAATCCACTTCAAGACACTGGTACTTGCTTACCATGCTGCGAATGGATTTGGCCCTTCGTACATCCAGGACATGGTTAAACTGTACACCCCAGCGCGTGCACTACGCTCTGCATCAGCCAAACGACTCGCTGCACCCTCGCTGCGAGGGGGACCCAAGTTCCCATCAGCAAAAACACGTGGGTTTGCTATCCTGGCTCCAAAATGGTGGAATGAGCTCCCCATTGACATCAGGACAGCAGATAGCTTGCACATCTTCCGGCGCAGACTGAAAACTCATCTCTTTCGACTCCACTTCGAGCGATAGAATTATTAACAAAGCACTTATATACTAATAAAGGACTGGCTTATCTAAAGCCAGTTGAGTAGCACTTGAAATGTTTGGCTCTATGAAACCTGATGTACTTATATGATGTTGTTTTCTTCAAGGTTGTGTCTTCCTGGTCGAATGTACTTATTGTAAGTCGCTTTGGATAAAAGCGTCTGCTAAATGCAATGTAATGTAAAAGCTCGATCACAGGTTCATTATTTAGCTGCACAATATAGTGAAAGCACATTTTGGCTACTGCATATTTTATCTGTTTGTCACACAATGACTTGACAAAGGCTGGTTTCTTTCAATGTGTAATGTGATTTTCTTTTAAAACAATGCATTATATACCATTTCTCATTATTATGTATCACTTGCTATTAAGGGAAAGTTGTTGACTTTGGTAAAAAAAATGCTCCGTTTAAAGCACTTGAACAAAAATGCTATTGTCTTTTATTTATTTATGTACATTAATTGACCACAAATGATAATGTGGGTTCTAAAGTCAATGCAACAGATTGATAACAGGATATTTAACATTTCCAGTTCTATCTATTTCTTTGGATCAACTATTTTCTACACATTTGGGAGGTGGATATTTCCTATCTGACATATCACTCTGCTTCGGTATTCTGCTTTCTGGTCCTTATAAATTCTGCTGCAGTTCACTCCTCAGTATTTCCACTCCCATCGGGCTGACACAACCATTGACGATTCATACGTCAAGCTAATTCTGCAAGAGTCTCAATCTCTCTCGTACGATAACTGAGCCGGTCCCTCAGCTGTACATTTATTGGGTTGAGTGTATTTTTTCCCCTCTGAGGTGTGTTGCCGCCTGCCCAGCACAGAAACTCAATCAATCACAAATATCAAAGCCAGCAGGTCGAGGTGTGTTGGAGGAAAATCACAAGATAATTCCCTGAAACAAACAGCATGATAAGAAGCAGGACACATGCTCCTGCTAAATGTTTTCACCGAGTCAATCAATGTTGTTGAAAGCTATATTGTATTGATTCCTTAAATTATTAATCATGTCATTATGATGTGTCCCTTTGAGTTCAATATTTGATTGATTAAAACAATGAACTCATTTATGATAAAGAGTTTGGATGAAGCCATCCTGAAATCAACCAAGGCAGAAATGTTGATTCAGGTTCATGAATAAAATATATATTAAAAGATAAATAAAATAACAGTGTTTGATGTGCGTAGGCCTATCCCTCATTGAAGTTAAATAGGTAGGCTACAACAGAAGGGCAGTGTTTACAATTTGGTAATGTGCTTATTCCCTCTCTGTCTGCAGGTTTAATGAGAAGATTGATATACACACAGACTTTAACACAATTCCTCTTGTTTTTATCTTTTTTTTTATGGATCTAACATGCTTGTTTGGGAGCTAGCTATGTAAGGTTCTGTTGGGCTCGACTGGGTCCCCCCGCCCGGTTTTACTTTGAAATGATTATCCTGAACTGTTTAAATTCTTAAGTCTCGATTTTGTTTTTTGCGTTTTGTTTTTTGTTTTTTTTTTTCGAGCATGTTGTAAAACCAAAGAAATACAAATGAAGCAAAAGATTGGATACAGACATGATAACAGTACTATTACAATGAATGCAATCAACAAAACGAAATATTTAAATAATAATTGAATAATCTGTTAGTATCATTGTCTGATAACAATAAAAATAAACTTTAGCTAATTACACGTCCGAAAAGGGGTCGGAAGAAGTTTACACTTATTTAATCCGACCCCTTCTCCCTTTTGTTTTTTTTACATCTTAATATAAGATAACATACAATATAAATGAATACCCTAACCCTGAATAATTCATATAATCATTCATATAATATATACAGGCAAGTTAAGAGAATTGTCTCTATATATTCATAAGTATATATATACACATATGTATACACAAATTCATAAACATAAATTCATAAATTGAATACAAAACAAGAACATAACAGTTATGGTTTAGCAGTTTCCTCCCTGTACCTTGTGAGAATTGTGTCTTTATACCTCTTTTTGAATAGTTTAATGTTTGGACATCCCTTTAGCTCCTCACTCAAATTGTTCCAGATCTTCACCCCACAAACAGAAACACAAAAACTTCTCTTTGTTGTGTGCACCCTAACATTAGTGAATATAAATGAACCACGTAAATTATAATTCCCTTGTCTTTCATTGAACAATGTCTGAATATTCCCAGGTAATTGAAAGTTTTTTGCCTTAAACATGATTTGTGCAACTTGGAATTCAACAAGATCTGACAGTTTTAATAATTTTAGCTCTAAGAATAATGGGTTTGTATGATCCCTATAGCCGACATTTGTAATAAGTCTTATTGCTCTTTTTTGTAAAATAAACAGGGATTGTGTTGTAGTTTTATAAATACTGCCCCAAACCTCTGCACAGTAACTTAAATAAGGTAACACCAATGAACAGTAAAGAATGTAGAGGGAATTTTTATCAAGAATCTGTTTTGCCTTGTTTAATATTGCAATACTTCTTGAGACTTTGGATTGAATATGCGTTGGCCATTGCCATCCAGTTTTTTTTAGAACCAGAAGTTACATAAGAAAAAGACTTAACAAACTTTCATATACTAAGGGCTAACATTCTAAGACTATTAAATGGACGACACCAAAACGGTATCAATCACAACGTAGCTCCACCCTTAAGCATACGCTGCTGTTTAAAAAGTGTTGTATGAAATGTGGTAATTTTCTCATAGACTTCCATACAATCGGACTTCTTGCTATTCCTTCTGGCCTTATGGAAACAAGTGCAAGTCAAAGCAAAAAAGGTATTTCCTAAAATATCCAACCGTTTCTTCAAAGGGAGATATTAGGGAAAACCCTTGTCCACTGTCTCTTTAGACATGAACACATTGAACACTGAGATCCTGTATGCTGTCAGAGGCTTGCCGTGAGGGTGACCTCTGAACAGATATCGACCAGCTCAGAATTAGCATATTAAAGAACAACTACTATATTCATTATGGCCTCTCTGAATCTACCGAACCATTCCCTTACAATCAATACAAGTTAGCAGAGTGGCAGCAATTTACTATGAGTCATGATCAATAGCTATATGTCTCTGAATAGTAAATCATTTGTATAATCATGGAGAGAATGGGGTCATTTAGCTCTGTTAAAGCAAGCTGCTTCTTATACATGTGCAATCCTTTTGAGTTAAAAGAGAGTCTGTTTCCTTCAGTTGCTCCACAGAATGAATAAGTATACAGCTCTCTTACTGAAACATCTTGGTTACAAGGTCTTTGCCTGCCTCACCATCAATGATCCTCTTGACCCTCCAGATGCGTAGAGTGATGATGAGGCTGATGGCGTCCCAGGGGCTGCTGGGCCCGTTGGCCACCGTGGAGGCCACCATGGGGGCCAGGGACAGCACGATGACGGCGCCATCGAACACCTAACAGTCGCACACACAAGCACAGACAAAAGTCAACTAAGCACTAATGCTGTTGTGTTTGTATTTTCTAAAATATTGGGGGGGTGAAATATATAGATATCACATTAGAACAAGTCACCAATATAAAAACTGTTCATCAATGAATAAACACACAACACCAGCACTGACCTCAACTTTGTTCTCTATATAGTCCCAGATCCCGAGCACTACAATTCTGAAGACAGTCTAAAACAGACGGGGAGAGATAAATGAAAGCATTAAAATAGATCGACTTATACATATAAAAAGATCTTGATATTCTTAGTCCTTTGAGGTGTCATCACATTCAACACCTTTTGTTAGGATGCGAGAAATCAGACTAGAAACTAAGAGGAGGCCTGTGCAGTACAGTTTTCTTCTTTAAATATTATTTTCAGTGGAATAATAACTAAGATAGATCTCTTTGTTGACCTCACAAGAAATTCAAATAAAAAACTGAAGTAGCAGTATTTGATTAGTAAAAAATGTAAAGTGCATGCACACAAAAATAGTCTTTTACAAGCAAGTATGCTAGCTACATGATTCAATTATCTTCCCTGATCTTGGACTCACAAAATAAACACACACAACCCTTGCAACATATCAAATTCCACATTGTGCTTTGAAAATGCAGGTTGTTAAACCCTTTGTTGAGCAGGGCCATCAATTTACACTCTAATTAGCATGGGGTGTCATGTCCGACTGCTCCTGCTAATCCATCATTGGGAGTGCATGTTGGTCAACAGTGCTGGTGTCAAATGACCCCGCCTACATTTAAAAAAAAAATGTTTTCTGATTGGCTGGCTGGTGGTATACTCTATCTATCTATCATCATTCCCAGATGACTCTTCTTCTGTGATGTCAGTGGTTGAGGTGTTTAGATGGATCGTATCACTGTAACCCCATCCCCACTGCTCATTAAGCTCAGCCTTAACTATTGCTCCTGTTGGCTCTCTGGTAATTAATGTTTGGTTTAGGGCATCAGGGCTGAGGCTGTCAGGGTAATTGGTTCGCACCTTAGTGGAGGCCTGTGGGCCAAACATGCGCCCTCCCCTCCCCTTTTGTATTTAACATTTATAAAGTGATGGTAAGACGTTATCTTATCAAACAATAGCTCAAATGTTATTAACACTAATTGCAATCATGGTTTACACATTAGACATTTGACCAACCATCACACCTTTCTTAAGCAAAGGCTGAATCCTGAATAGAAAATACACTAAAGGAAAATACATGGCAGCCACGTGCAATGCTTTCCTCAGCTGTGTACCTATTTTGCAATACTTATATGATAGTTTCAACAGTGAAACAAATGTGTTAAATTCATTTAAAAGAAATGCAAGATGTGCCCCTGAAGGACTTCTGTGTCAATAAAACATCATGCAAAACACCAAGAGCAAAGAGAAGGGAAAATAATTCAACCTAACTGATGACTATAAGATCAGAGTAAGGTTTAAAGACAATAGTAAACATGTCTTGCCTCTGAAAAGAAGAGTGACAGGATGATAAGGCTGATCCAGTGGATTATGCTGGCAAATTGGAAAGCATTGGAAACTGTTGAGAGAAGAAGCATAAACAAAAGTTATTCTGCAAACGTTTTATACACAAGAAAGGACAAGAAAGAAAGGAGTTCCTGTATACATGTAAAACAGTGTAGGACAATAGAATCACCTCCAGTTACTTCAATTATGTTGATTTATTTTGGCTGGACTACTATAAACTCTTGAGCTGTGTTTCATGGCATCTTTTTCAGTTGCATTTTATTTGCCAACCTAGTGAGAGAAGGCCGTACATTTTGTTTAATAACAATTGGTCAATTAACCTGCCATTTGTGACAAATTACATGTCATTTTAAATTACAAGGTTTAGCAAAAATAATGGGGAAACCCCCTTTACTGCCTGAATGAACTGAACTTTTACCAAGATTACACCTCTCGTTGATTCTCTCCGTGACATTCACTCCATCAGCATTACTAGTATTTTACATATCTCAGGGTTCATCATTAAATCCACAGAGCCAACCTGTATCTGCCCAGGTCCTACACCACTAATCTCTCCATGGACTACCACACTTACTCTATTTTACACTATCCACTCGCAGGAGTGGCTGCAGACACAGCACTGGATTACAATAGATCTGAGGCCACTATAGAGTCCTGCAGTCCCCATCATCGGAGCTGGAAACTGGCCAGTAATCGATGAGGTCGTGGGGCTGCTGCCATCGACAAGAGACTTGGTTCATTATCACCTTTCTCCATCACGCTCTCCATCACAACCATTTACCGTCCGGCACCACCAGCTCCTCTGTGGCTGGCAAGACTACGAGTGCTGAGGAGTGGGCCCTACATGCATACACATGACTGCTTATCGAGTAAATCATAAGACTGTTATAATGATTTTTACAGCACATACAAACAATGGATCTTCAGACATGAATGTTGTAAAGTGCCCTAAAGTGAAACAGAATGAGGTTCACAACTCAAAGTCACACTGATTCAATGTTTTACTATCGCCGAATTCGGATGAACCGGTATTGATGACAACCATGATATTTGAAACATGTTTTTATGTTAATAATACACATAAAGACCATGTCGTTGTGTCCCTGGGCAAGACACTTCACCCCAAATTGCTCCTGTGGGGATTGTCCACAGTACTGAATGTATGTACTTTGGATAAAAGCATCTAACAAATGACATGTAATGTAATAAAATATTACTTAAATAAACCGTCCTTTCATTCATTTATTATTCTTTCCCATTCTCGCTTTGTCTGCATCACCAAATGCCATGCACACACGTGAATACACACGTGAATAAAACACAAAGTTAAAGATACATTTGACGGAAATACAAATGTTCTCCCCCCAATATGTTTTAGATATTGGGATAACTATTTCGGCCAACGTAATCCTGTAGTGAAATCTGATTATGTGACAGCTCTAATCCATATGTGTTAATATTCATGGAGAGATTAGGGAAATGTGAGAGTAAAACACAGAATATTTCCCTCCCAATTGAATTGAATTAGAGTACATTAGAATACTATTTAAACACTCAAATAATTATTTTGAAACTTTTTACAGCCTGATGAGTTCAGTTTAGCTGAAAAGAAAATGCTAGAAGAGATGAGGAAAATGAAACACATTTTAGATTTTTGAAAACAAATACACCCGTGTGGCAGGTTGTTCACAGTAAAGGAAAAGCTCCAGTCGAGTAAGCAACGTTTCAGACACTAAAGCCATTAGTTCCCTCCAGTAGAGCGGCTCATGCGTGTTGCACTGGTTGACTCCCAGGTGTTTCATGGACCTCACACAGTGTATTGCTAAAGAAGAATATGCATGCTTTTGCAGTTTAAAATAGGAGGAATAAAAAGCAGCCAATATTTACATTGTAGGAGTTTGGTGTCGATGAGCAGCTCCAGAGACAGGAACAGCACCACGAGGATGACGCAGGCCACCAGGATGCAGTTGAATCCAGCGCTCAGCAGACAGACCTGCCACAGGGCGACGCGTCGCCCACAGCAGGGCTTCAGCCAGTTGGACCTGAAGAGAGGAAACACAACGAGAGGTATGTTTTTCAATATTACTGCAGGTAACAGTATGTGTTATACTATTGCAATGTTTAGATTTTTATAAACAAACAATACAAATGAAATATGTGTCATAAAAGTATACTTGGATCAAACCAATTATCTCTTAATGTTCTTAATGGTTTTAATTGTTGTAAAACACTTTGATTTGCCTCGTGTTGAAAGGTGCTACATAAATAAACTTGCCACGCCTTGCCTTATTTAAATGTATTATTCTCTCATTGTCATACATTTTGTTATTTCAAGTCAATGTATTGTTGACCAATAAAGAATACATTGACGGATTGACCTACTGAGATGTTCCAGAACAGCAAGTAAAGTGATACTAAATACTTGCATCAACTTCCAGTCTTAGTGCAATGCTGGACAATATTTCAATGGTTTGATTTTGATATTTGAACTCCCCGACATGGCCAACAGAGGGCGGTAGTTTACATCCATGGTGCTGAAGGCCAGAGTAAAGGGAAAGGAAGTGTGTTCAGAGACAGCGTTGACAGAGATGCGGACACAGTGAGGCTCTGTGAATTAGTGACTGGACCAGCATCTGTAGGTGTGACTGGCATATTGATGGACTCCTTTTTAAAAGGCAATGAAGGGAGGCACTGTAGGATGCTGCCCAGAGGGAAGGCTGTCACTTCCAGCCAAATCAGTTAAGCAAAGTGGGCAACATAAAATGATATTACATTTGTTTCAATTAAACTTTAACCACATTAACATGCAATCTCCTGTGTTTAAATATCCTGCAGAGAAAATGGTAGGTGAACATTTTGAAGACTTTAAAAGCTGTATTTTGCCAGGTACTGTAAGAATCCAGCATTTAGGCCATTGAAGTGTCTGGCAAAATGACTCACTTCTATTTTAAAATAGAGGCTAGTCTTACAGACCAGCTACTACAAGGGCTGACAGTAGGAGATGAGAGAAACAATGCCTCTCACCATCTCTCCAGCTGGAGTGGAAAGTTGGCGCTGGCCGCTACCTTTCCCTTCTCCCCATGCACTGGCATGGAGGAGACAGACGTTGGCAGAGCAGTCCTCTCCTCTGATCATGTCTTCACTCCTTGGCGTGGTGTTAATATGGGCAGCAATGGTGGCAAAATGGCTGCGCTGTCACTGTGGCTTCGAAAACTGATTATCCGGCACTCATGGCTGAAGAATCTGGATATTTTGCAATTTAAAAACAATTATAGACTAAATCACATTCTCACTTAAGAACTGTTGGCTGGAAGTTGGGTCTGTATTTGAAAAGAGATGCTTTTAAATAGGATGTCAATTCATAAGACTTAAGATCACTGGAATAAAATATTAAAATATAAAAACCTAGTATTCTTTCCTGTTTGCACTTTTAACAAGTTCATCCCAAGATCAAATCCTTTTGAAAATTAAGCTCTGAATTGACCGGTTGTATCCTCAACAACAGTGGAAGTGACATTTCTGACATCACTGAAGAACAATCTTGAAAAAAAACCTTCTTTATTCTTGCCAAAAGTAACACATGGAAATGGTATTAGCCGCTGTTGAGTTGATCACCCATTGATTTTTCAGTAAAAAGTGTTTGTTTTCTGGCTGGCAGGCGCAGAGCCACACGCCTGTAAACAATGCACAGCTAATCTAATAAAGACGTAATCATGCTGATAGCAATCATCTTCTTGGCTTTGGGTGGGGTGGCACAAACGTTGGAGCTACAGATGGTGTAGAATCTGCTCCACCAGAGTCTTGGCGAGACTCTGAGGATGCCAGGTATCATGCCGCCTTGAGAGCCAGCCTATATACTACATATATAAATAATATGAAACCAAGAAACGACATGTAAACTTAGCCTGAATCCTATACTTTACCAACCGAGCTCAGCTTTCTTTGCAGCTGTATTCGGACATTTAATAGGACCATCTGACCACACACATAAAATGAACTACTCATTGTCCAGTAGCATATATATTCATTTCAACAGTACATCTGCAGAAGGTATTTCCTCGTGCATGCCAACGAAACTACAAAATAAGCAACACAAATCAGTGGGCAAATGAAAGGGAGTTTTGAAAATGAAAAATATTCTATTGTTCAACCACAGAAAATCCTAGAATGAGAAATTGACAAAAGGTTATTGTACACAACAATGTAAAAGCTTTTAATGTTTAATTACTCAAATGCAACAAAAAGGAGACATTATTGTTTCACTAGGAGCCTAAACATATTCAAGTTTTTATTAAGAAGAGTTTCTTAATGTATCATCAGTAACCGATTAAAGGATATCCTTCAGCCCTACATCCATTTATATTCCAGTATTCACTGACTGCTACAGATTTGTTCCAGCAGAGCAGTTGGAGTTTGGTGCCTCGCTGGAAAGCCACCTTGACAGTTAGTTGAAGGTGAGGAGAGTTACTCATTCACCCTCTCCACCCACATTGCCCAAGAGACTCTGGGGATTAACACCGGTCAACCTCCAGTAATAACCTTCCCTCACCTTTATGGAGTCGTGGCTACGCCTAACAGCAGACAGCATCGAGTCTCAACCAAACCTTGTCTTATCAGATTGTATGAATGCAAATTAAAAATGTTAAGAGCTGTGAGAATAGAAGGGAGTTTGTGAGAAAACATAAACTAAAGAAAAATAGCAGATCTGTGCATTTCAGTCCTCCAAACATTTGACTCAAACAAGCTCCATTTCCCGAGGTTATGGTTTAGCAAACTTCCACCATGTGATTAGATAGTCCATTAAAGTGCATCTCATATCAAATGATTTCACGCTTCATTCAACTGCAGCAGGGAAGCAAAACAAATAAGAAAAAAATTACCACAACAATAAAACTCCATGAGTGGGTGTAGTAAAGGAAGTGGTAAAAGTGAAATACTTCTTTCAAAAACTTTATAAGGGCACAGTCTCCTCGGGCTTTCATAGTTCTAAGGATTACGTCCATATGCAACCAATTACAATAAACAACACTGAACGTTTCAAGCTAAATGTTTGCAAGCAAGTAATTGCCTTTGGACAAAGCAAGCTAGCTGTTGCCTCTGTTTTAGTTGTTATGCTAAGCTAAGCTAAACTAATGGGTATTTAGAAAACAAACATAAGGCAAGGCAAGGCAAGGCAAGGCAAGTTTATTTATATAGCACTTTTCAACACAAGGCAATTCAAAGTGCTTTACAAAAAATGAAAGAGATTAAGAAAATGGCATTTAAAATCAGTCATTAAAAAGAAAAGCTAATAAAATAAACATTAAAAGAAAAAATACATGGATAAAAGTTACAGTGCTGTCAATTAAACATTAAAAGAAAAAAGTACATGGATAAAAGTTACAGTGCAGTCTAAGATATGAATAGTTCAATTAAAAGCAGCGACAAAAAGAAAAGTCTTCAGCCTGGATTTAAAAGTAGTCAGAGTTGCAGCGGACCTGCAGGTTTCTGGGAGTTTGTTCCAGATATTTGGAGCATAATAACTGAACGCTGCTTTACCATGTTTAGTTCTGACTCTGGGGACAGAAAGCTGACCAGTCCCTGAAGACCTGAGAGATCTGGATGGTTCATAATTTAGCAGGAGGTCAGAAATGTATTTTGGGCCTAAACCATTCAGTGCTTTATAAACCAGCAGCAGTATTTTGAAATCTATTCTTTGACACACAGGAAGCCAGTGTAAAGACTTCAGAACTGGAGTGATGTGATCCACTTTCTTAGTGTTAGTGCAGCTAGTTAGTGCAGCTAGTGCAGCTACTTAAGAGCAGTAGCGGTAAATCTCGGCAAGAAATCAACAAGCTTATTTCCCCAAATGTTAACTATTCCTTCAAACCCTGAGTGTAAAAGGTGTGGGCACTATTGTAAATGGGTAAACATCCAGTAATTCAACATTTAAAAAAAACGAATCATGCCACAGCATCTAAGTCCACACACACTTGAAAAATGATATCTGAAAGCTAAATCGTGGCCATCATATATTATTTTACCTGAAAATATTGTAATGGGTCAACAAGGCAATAAACCATCGCATTACAATATGTCCATTGAAATCATGTTTATTAACAGGCTATTAACTGCACCGCACAAGCCAAAGCATGACACACAATCACACACATGAATAAGGGATGTGAGTTCCGCTACAGTGCAAAGATTCATCTTTGATACGTTATAAGAATAAGTGAAATTCAATGAATGTATGTGTCCTTATATCATGCCAAAACTAGCCCAGAGGGGACGCAGTCAGACGCTGCTGGTGTCACTTGCAGTGTATTAATGAGTCTTATTAAAGCAACAGGAACAAATGTTGTTTCTCTGACCCGCTCAGCGCTGACAGCCTGACAGAACCACCTGGCCCGAGTCACTAAGCATATCGGACAAGGTTGCTGCTCAAACTGCAAGCTTTCAAACTCACTTGGTTTCATGGATTTTACGTTACAAAGAAATAAAAAAAAAAATTGGAAATAAATGCTTTTTTTGACACAAACATGGAGTTTAAATAGCCTCTGTATTTTTAGATTTCATCTGTCTTTATCCCTCCTGCTTTCTCCTTCGTTCTCCCTATCTCTGTCCACTCATTCTTTCTCTACATCCCTTCTGCTGCCTGAGTGTTGATATAGCTGTCACTGTTTCCCACTACCGGTGAGATTGAGTGGAGCTGGACAGGGAAACAGAGGAGGGAGATTAAATCGGGGAAAGTAATCGATACCAGCATGTTGAGTGAGCCACCAAACACTGGGACTGTCAGACTCACAGCACCTGATGGTCTCATCAGATAAAGTACTCCATCGCAGAGGGGCCGGTTGCTTAAACATGTTTTAATTCTTCCAATAAATAACAATTTAATCCAATATAAAGAAAAAGGCCTTTGATTAAAATTGTGTAAATAAGGTCCATTTGAAGTTTTATAAGCAACTTCAAGAGAATTGCTCTGGGCAGATTATTGCAATAAGTGCTGTACATTTGTGTGGCTCTTGAAGGGTCAAATGTTGCTAATGTAATGCCTGTT